AGGTGGAAGGATCGTCGAAGTTCAGCAGGTTGACTCTGGGGTGGCCATGAGTGTGCCACTGCACTCCAGCCTGGGCGACAGAGTAAGACTCCTATTAAAAAAAAAGAAAGCATTGTAGGACTAAATCTAGATTAAATAAAACATAAATGCCCAAATTTTATACAAACATATTTAGACAAAATTAGTTTTTTTATTGTTAGCTTACTCATCCTTTAGGTCAAAAGTAGAACAATTTTCCTTTTTGCTATTCCTGTCATTAATGGAGACATTGCAGCTTCTATTTTCTGGAAGCAGCAAGTATCTGAGCAGTCTAAGTGCTGGAATACCTGTGATCTCGCCCTAGTTTTGTTATTTATTAACAAATATATTGCATGCTCTTTACCTGAATTTTATCATCTCTAAAATAATAGTGGTTATGATGTTTCCTTTTATAAATTTAGGAGGATGACCGGGCTTGTTGGCTTAACCTATAATCCCAGCACTTTGGGAGGCTGAGGTGAGTGGATTGCCTGAGACCGTGGGTTTGAGACCCATCCAGGCAACTTGGCAAGACCTCATCTCTACAATAAGTCAAAAATTAGTCGGGCATAGTAGCACGTGCCTGTAGTTCCAGCTCCTTGGAAGGCTGAGGCTAAAGGATCACCGGAGCCAAGCAGGTTGAGGCTGCGTGGCCAGGAGCATGCCACAGCACTCCAGCCTGGGCAACAGAGTGAGACTCCAACTCAAAAAGTAAAATAAGTAAATTTAGGTGGACATTCCTTTAAACCACCACCTTGCTCCCCCCTGGGTGGTTGAGACCTTTTCTTTCACAAACATGAATATAGTTAGTGTTATCACACCTGATCTATGACCTTTAGTGAGAGCCTTTACAGGAAAAGAGATATTTAAAATATCAATGTTAAACTCTTAACTCCAAAACTTAATATTCTGTGAGGAAGAAATATCAAGAAGTATATGATTATGGTGTTTTTTATCCCCTAAGTGCATTTGACCTTGACTTTTTTTGTTATTGAATCAATGCATTCATCATTCAATGAAAGTGTTATTGCTTTCTCCAGAAAGAATCACATATTTGCTTTGAAGTTTAGAGGGTCCAGCTTTTTGCTATGCTTTTTACAAAGTGGCATGCTAAAACTACTTTGAATAAGTAGGTAATAAGATAGGCAATCGTCCATGTAAGGTTCTTCCATTGCAACAGGGCTGTCATTTGTCAGAAGTACTTTTGAGCCGGACGCGGTGGTTCACACTTGTAATCCCAGCACTTTGGAAGGTAGAGGCGAGAGGATTGCCTGAGTCCTGGGGTTCGAGACCAGCCTGGGCAACTTGGCGAGACTGCATCTCTACAGTAAAATAAAAAAATTAGCCGGATGTGGTGGCGCATGCCTGTAGTTCCAGCTACTTGGAAGGCTAAGGTGGAACAGTCGCCTGAGCCCAGCAGGTTGAGGCTGCGGTGGCCGTAATGTACCACTGCACTCCAGCCTGGGCAACAGAGTGAGACTCCGACTCAAAAAAAAAAAATCTTTTGTAGCATGCTCACAGAATTCCATCTTTTAGACACACACACAGCCTTGATTTAATCTTTATTTTATGGTAAGAGATAGGGTAATAAATATAACTCAAGCTGTTTGTTTATCACATTTAAACTTCTGTTTTGGCAAGTTAGAGAAATAACATTACTTCATTCTTGAAAAATTTTTAAATTGTTCAACTAATAAGTATTGTAACTTGTTGATTAACTGCTCCTTTTCTTTTTCTTTTTTTCCTTCTATTGTTAACTTTTGAGTATTTATTGCTTTTTATTTACCAGGTTATAAGATATAAGAAAAGGAAAATAAATTAAACCACTTATATTACTTGTGTATCTTCCAAGTGAAAAGAACCATTGTAGTTAAAAATCGGAATTTAAAAATTGTAGATTTTGGCTGGGTGAGGTGGGCCACACCTCAGAACATTGGAATCTCATAACTTTGGAAGACTGAGGCAGAAGGATCACCTGAGTCCAGGAAGTTGAGGCTTCAGTGAGCCATGACGGTGCCGTTGCATTCCAACTTAGGTGACAGAGTGAGGTCCCCAGCCTGGACCGCAGAGTAAGACCCCGACTAAATAAAATAAAATAAAATAAAAATTGTAGATTTTATCTGTGATTTTAAATCTTCACATACTCAAGTAATAAGGCCAAAACTTTACACTCTCTGTTTCTTTCTTCTTAAAAATAAGTAACTAATAACAATTTTTATTTATTTCTAGAAATGAGGTCTTGCTGTGTTGCCCAGGATAGTCTCAAACTCCTGATCACAAGTGATTCTCTTACCTCAGCCTCCCAAAGTGCTGGGATTTCAGAAATGTGCCTTCCATTTTTTTCTTCAAATGAAATAGTTATATTAGCAGTTTGAGTGTCTTTCCAGCTTCTTTTCTATGTATTTTCCACATGATGTTTATATAGCCACAACTTTGCCTGGTATACATAAGATTATGCTATGGGTGTGGCTTTTTTTTTTTTTTTGAGTTGGAGTCTCACTCTGTCGCCCAGCCTAGAGTGCAGTGGCACGCTCATGGCCACTGCAGCCTCAGGTGATCCTTCTGCCTCAGCCTTCCAAGTAACTGGAACTGAGGTGTGCACCACCATGCCCAACTACTGTTTTTGATTTATTGTAGAGATGAGGTCTTGCCAAGTTGCCCAGGCTGATCTTGAATTCATGGGCTCAGGTAATCCTCTCACCTTGGCCTCCCAAAGTTCTGGGATTGTAGGCGTGAGCCACCGTGCCCAGACGGGTGTGGCATTTTACAACTTGCATTTTAACTTAATATCTTGGAGTTCTTCAGCACAGGAGTATCTTCTTTTTAGCAGCTATGTACTATTCCACAGTACAGATGTACTATTCCACAGTACAGATGTACTATTCCACAGTACAGATGTCTTATAGTTTATTTTTCTATTCTCCTCTCGAGAGACATTTACGTTGCTTCTAAATTTTTCATTTTACAACTTTCAATAAATATTCTATAATTTTTTTTAGCACATGCGCATATGTGTAGGACACATTTAGAAGCAGAGTTGTTGAGTTGAAGAGTTTATGTGACCTAAATTTTACCTAATTACCTTCAAATAATTCCTACCAATTTGTCCTTTACCGCTAGAGTACAAGACACAAATTCCTTACCCACATCAATAATTGATAATATCAGTCTTTTAAAATTTTGCAAATCTAATGTGCAAAAATAAAACTTTCAAAGTAATTTTTTTTAGTTGAAGTCTCACTCTGTCTCCCGGGCTGGAGTGCAGTGACATGTTCATGGCCGCTACAGCCTCGACCTTTTGGGTGCTGGGTGCGGGCAATCCTTCTGCCTCAGCCTTCTAAGTAGCTGAAACCACAGGTGCACACCACCACGCTCAGCTAATTTTTGATTTATTGTGGAGATGAGGTCTTGCCAAGTTGCCCAGGCTGATCTCGAGCCCATGGGTTCACCTCCCAAAGTGTTGGGATTACAGGCATAAGCCACTGTTACACTTTTAAAAGTAATTTGATTTGAATACATTTATTGGCCGTCTTTTTCTGCAGTGATGGTTTATATGTTTATTTTTTTCTTCTTACTTTGTTTGTATTGCTTAAATGATTTTGTATACAGTCTAGCACACATTCCTGCATTTGGTTGGCTTATTATTTGTTTGTTTTTTAGTTTGCAAAAGTTGCTTATAAATTCTGGATGTAATGTTTTTCCATTCTAACAGATGCCAATCTGTTGCTTGATATTGAATTTTGTTATGTTATTTTTGTTGTTGTTCAACTTAAAAATTTTTATGAAGTCAAAGTTATCAATTTTTTTCTCTCTGCCTTCTGTATTTTGTGCTTTGCTAAGGTTTTATTTTTTCTATGGATTTTTGCTTTTCTGTTTACATGAATAATCAAATGTTTTAGTGTATTAAGTGCCTCTCCTATAGCTGATTGGACTGTAGTCTTGCATTTCTCTATTTCCACAGAGATCACAAAAGTTTTTCATTAAAATTAAGAAAGTTTATTGCTCTTGCTTTAGAAGTGGCATGATTATAACTTTTTTTTTTTTTTTTTTTGAGTTGAGTTCTTACTCTGTCCTCTAGGCGAGAACAGTGAACCTCAAACTCCTGGACTCAGATGACTCTTCTGCCTCAGCCTCTGTGTAGCTGGCATTATAGGTGTGAGCCACCACACCCCAGCTAATTTTTTTCCTTTTTTATAGAGATGAGATTTTGCTATGTTGGATAGGCTGATCTTGAACTCTTGGGCTAAAGCAATCCTCTCATCTGGCCCTCCCTAGTGCTGGGATTACAGGTGTGAGCCACTGTGCCCCAGCTGATTATGAATTTTAACATAGGCATTTCATCATGATGTTTTTTCCAATGTACTCATCATAATCAGATAAATACTCAATATCATCTGATGTGTTTGACCTCAAACATGAGCTTGAATAACTTGCATAGATTATTATACAAATGCTGTAGCTGCACACCAAACCTGCTGAGTTGTTAACCAAAGTCCTTCTATATTTGCCTTGTTTTTTTTTTTTTTTTTTGAGTTGGAGTCTCACTCTGTCACCCAGGCTGGAGTGCAGTGGCACGCTCACAGCCACCACATCCTCCACCTGCTGGGCTCCGGCGATCCTTCTGCCTCAGCCTTCCAAGTAGCTGGAACAATAGGCATATGCCACCACACCTGGCTACTTTTTTTAATTTATTGTAGAGATGAAGTCTTGACAAATTGCCCAGGCAACTCGATCTCGAACCCGTCAGTTCAGGCAGTCTTTCTCCCCCCTACTCCCCCCCTGCCGCCCGGCCTCCCAAAGTGCTGGAATTATAGGCGTGAGCCACTGCGCCCGGTCTGCATTTTTTTCTTAGTTCAACCATATTGAGTTCAAATGTCATGCAGTTCATAAGCAGAAAATGATTTTAACTTAAATTGTTTAATAAAATAATTTATTTTAGATGGGGAAATGACTTATTTATATATCCTTATTTTTTCCTTCAGTTTTGTCAAAGCAACATGCTTCACAAGTCCTGGTTAGGAAACGTCGTGCAAATGCGATGCTTGAAGAAACCAAACAGGGTAATCTTGAACGAGAATGCATCGAAGAACTGTGCAATAAAGAAGAAGCCAGAGAAGTCTTCGAAAATGACCCTGAAACGGTAAGAATTCACAGGAACTGTCAAGTTTGGTCACCTAGACAACAATTACAGACCAAGCATTTCCAGCTTGAAAGGCAACACAAGGATTCTGTTATCATCTTGCACACGTGACTACTTTCATTTTAGGGAAATGTCTTCTAAGGAAGGTGGGCTTGTTAGGAAGACACCATCGCCAAGAACAATCTGTTCTGATAAAACTATAATTCAGTTATTCCTCATTATCGGCAAATAGTGTTGACCTTGTGATTTGTAAATACTTTCTTCAACAAAAATCTGACAGTGTTAGGAGGAGGGGAGAGGATGTCTCAAGTATTAATGTGTGTGTGTTTAATTTGGATTGTTACCACTACACCTCCTTAAATTTCTTCATTGGCATTTATCCATGCTTTAGAAAACAGGGTCCTGTAATCCAGAGCTTGACATGTAGCAGGCCCTCAGTGAATGCCGAATGAAGAACTCATTTTGCTACTGTGTATGTTGAGTGTGCTTTCGTTTATGATGTACACCTTTGGAAAGTTTCTGGGACCACTTTATATAAACAATATCCCTAATATTAGAATGTACACCTTCAGTGTATAAAACTTTCCTTGCTAATCTAGAAAAATCGAATCATAAAGGCCTCCAAATATTGTATAGGAACATAGAGCTCCTAGTTCTTAATTTTAAAAAATCATTTTTATGCATTTAGAGGTACAGGTGTGGTTTTGTTGCATGGATATATTTCATAGTGGTCAAGTCTGGGCTTTTAGTGTAATTGTCACTCAAATAGTGTACGTTGTACTCACTTGGTGATTTCTCATCCCTCTTCCAGCCTCTGCCTTTGGAGTGTCCAATGTCTATTATTCGACTCTCTTTGCCTTTATCTTTAGTTCCCTAATTTTCCAAGCAAGGATGTTCTCTAGCATCTCCTGTGGATATCAGAGGTATAAATAGTTCCTCTAAGAATTAGTGTGAGGGTGACCTTGAGAATTCAATCTGATCACCTTCATGGTTACCTCAGATGTTTTTCTTGAGATGAACTCAATAAGCTAGAGGAAAAGAGGGAGAATCTGTATACAAAGTATCTGCCTTACCTCTGCCATGGCTCCCAGGACCTGGAGAGTAGATAAGATAATGAGTAGACCTTTGTCTGTGGTTAGAATATGTGTCCAAAACTGTAGCACTTGTGTTCTCTGGGGCTGCTGTTTAATCCTGTTTATTTCCATCTATTCTAATAGGCACAAAGGGAATTTTCCCTAACGTACTCAAAGATTACTTTTTAATACTCTCAAAATCAACATGTTTCCATGTTTTGTTGCTTTTTGTGGATAAGCAGTTGCGAAGACAAAGGTATTTTATTCCATACAATATAGTAGGGTACTCTTATTGTGTAGGAAACATATATATATGTTTTCTACACATTTTACATTTCCATAATAAAAAGAAATGCATGCATACTGTAAGTGTTATGTTTATTCATAATATAAAGGAATATAGTATAGTGTCATATATATTATAGTGTGTGTATACATGCATACATATTCCTTTTTATTAAGAAAATTTTAGATATATGTCAAAGTAGAAAAGAACAATGTAATAAACTCCAATATACCCACTCTCCCCTTCAGCAATTATCAACAATCTGTCTGTCTTTGTTTATTTTTTTCCCCATCCATTCTTTTTGTTTTGTTTTCCTGGAATGTTTTAAAGCATACCTGAGATAGTGTATAATTACATCATCCATAAATACTTGAATATGTATTTCTAACATTGTAGATACTTTCTTAGGGCTTAACCATTACAGAGCAAAAATAAGGGAGAAGACCACAGTGATAGGAGGAAAGAGAGTCAAGAAGGAAAACACATGAAAGAGGTTCTTCTTCTTCACCACTAATTCTAGCATTTGTCTCATTGACAGATGAGAAGAGGGTGACAGAGAGTAAGACAGAAATGGAAGAAAAGAAGCATTTGTTACTGTTCACCGTTGTCTACCCCATCCCAGTCATTCCCTGTACACATCCCTAATATGCAAGACCACATTTCCTATCTTCACGCTTTTGCAGACCTCTCCACTGTCCCTGATACATTCCTTTCACCACCATGTTTGAAGTGTTGTATAGGTTTATACGTAAGAGGAGGAAAGAACGTATGTATATAGTCTGAGTGATTGCGGGGTCAGAAGGCAGATGAGTGGGTAGGGGATATCAGTCTGTTTGCCTGTTTGTCTGTCTGTCTATCTATCTATCAGTCTGTCCATCCATCCATATCTATCTAAATGTAAGATAAGTCATGAGAATGGACATTGAGTACATAGGGCTTATGGGGGTTGGTGAGTGCATGGGGCTTAGACGTGAAGATATGTCTGTACTTACTCAGTTGTAACATTGTGTATGTTTTTGTGCAGAAATTCTGTTTTTTCATGAGGTGTTCTTGTGCTATTAATGCTCCATGGTAGATGTATTATGGCTAGATATATAGGAATGCTCTGTGAACCAGCATGAGAACTTCACTGTCAGAAATTTTTAGCATTTTTCTCCTTTTAGTAAGATACATTCCTTAGTCTAAATTATTGGTTTACAGACAAACTTTTGGTATCCAACCGATTTATAAGTAGGGTATTATTATATGTACATAAGACGCTACAAGGTAAATGTCCACTTTAATTCACTTCAAATTATGTCACAGTGATTCAACATTGAATCTGGTATAGGTAAAATGACATAATGTGAGTCAAATGGGTATCTACTCATTAGAGAAAAATTAAAGGATTTACAAAAAGGGAGCATATATTACTATATTTAATAACTTAAATAGAAACTGTTTGAAACATGGTTAATTGATCAATATTTCTTTAAGCCTAATCACTTTATTGATTTAATTTTAATTAGTTTTCTCCTGGCATATTTCACATAGAAAAAATACTATGTTATAATATGAACATGAAAGTTATAAGAAAGTTATTTGTAGCTTTAATATAAAAACACCTTTTAAAATTAAGTTTTAACTCTATGATGAAATTTAGGTTTGCTAAAATATATATTTTTCTTTTTTCTTCTTTCTAGGATTATTTTTATCCAAAATACTTAGGTAAGTTCAAAGCATCTCAATCATATAATTTTAGAGATGGAAGGAAACTTCAATATGTTTACATCTAATTCTCCACTCATATATTCCATCTAATATAATTTTATTACCCTTGAGAGTGAGATTTCATTCTATATGTAATTTTGCTATTCTTTTATTTGAAGACATGCTGACAAATTTGGAATGGTTCTTTAATTATCATGTGACATTTTGACTTTTAATCTTTTCATTTCATTTATTTTTCATACTGATGCTTAATTATATTTAGGTATCAAGACATACTTGGTAAATATATGAGTTTTCATGGGTTATATTTTAATAAAAGGAGAGATCGCTAAACTCTTCAGAGATTATGATGTAAATAATCATCATTTAAATATTCATGGAAATCACTAACAGCTTCTCTGTTAATAACACACACCATTTCACCACTCCCTGCAGTATCCCATCCATGTTCTATTTTTGATTCTGGGCTTTCAAGGAGTCAGGTGGTATTTTCTCACCCAAATATGTGAAATGATTTCAATAAAATATCAACGAAAGGTAACAAGACTCCAGTTTGCTTTAAGCAAATATAGAAGTATTTTATATTAATATTACTTGGGAGAGTTGTTAGCATTTCCAGACAATGAAAGTGAGTATAGTTTTTACCTCTCTCTCTGATAAGATTCTGTATAAGTCCCGAACACAGAGGCGTGTTCCCCCTCTTTCTTTAGGTTCAGAATATCCCTCATCTATGCATTTCTCCATCCCACTCTCATCCCACCCAACTTTTTCTTTCTTTCTTTTTTTTTTGAATTGGAGTCTCACTCTGTCGCCCAGACTGGAATGCAGTGGCCGCTCCCGGCCACCGCAGCCTTGACTTGCTGGGCTCCGGCGATCCTTCCGCCTCAGCCTTCCTAGCCGGAATTACAGGCATGCGCTATGCCCGGCTGAGTCTTTGATTTATTGTAGAGATGAGGTCTCGCTGCCCAGGCGGGTCTCGAACCCACGGGCTCAGGCAATCCACTCACCTCAGCCTCCCAAAGGCGCGGGATTACAGGCTGAGCCACCGAGCCCGGCTACTTTTTCTTTCTTTTCATTTTTTTATTTTAAGGATGTGGAGTACAATTTGGGGTTAGGTATGCAAATGTTCATTATGCAGGCGCCCTTGTTGATGAGGTGTGCCCCCTCTTTCCCCAGCAGATTCCTGCTACTGCCAATCCCACCTCTCCCAGCCCTACCGCCATCCCATCCAACTTGACTTGACAAGTCTTCTTTGGAAAAGAAAAAGCAGAAATGAGCTCTGATATACAATAATAACGATGCAGCTTAGAATTATGAATGTGATTTTGCAAATAATTGCTTTGATTAAACACTCATTTCTCTTGAAATTTTAGGGCTCAATTATAGTTTAGGGCTTTACTTTTTGCTTATTTGTTTTTGTCTTGTTTTGTTTCTAAACACTCATGCAGAGTCTAAGGACCATCTTGAGATAGGACAATATTTATATCTTTCTCCTTTCCTTTAGGGAGCCTGACATTGAAATGATTATCTGAGTTGCTTAACATTCTGAGAAATTGTCGGGTTATTTTTTCATTGTGTAAAAATAAACATCATGGAGTGTATGTACACAACCTAGATGGTATAGCCTACTACACACTTAGGTGATAAGGTATAGCCAGTTGCTCCTAAACTACAAACTTATACAGCATGCTACTATGCTGAGTACTGTAGGCAATTTTAACACAATTTAGGCGTTTGTGTATCTAAATATAGAAAAGCTAAAGCATTGCAATACAACATTCAATGGCTACAGCATCACTAGGCCATTGGAATTCTTCAGCTCCATTATAATCTTATGGGACCACCATTGTGGATGCTGTTCATGGTTGACTGGAAACGTCATTATGTTGTGGTTCACGACTGTACTTATATTTACTCTCTAGGCCGTTAACAGGCTAAGACTCCAAGACCACTGGGTAGAAGATCTTTGTAGAATGTTACTTTTTTTCATAGATCCTGAAGTAGTTACTCTTCCATTTTTCAAGTGTCTAAAATGATCAGAATCTTATATTTGTGGTACATCCCGAGCCAAGGAGGCTCAACTATAAAATACTACATCTCAGATCACCCTCTCATGGCATTTCTCTTCAGAATGCCATATCATGATACATTTCTGTCCTGTGGGCTGCTGGATGTTTTTCATTGGCTTATTACAATTTGTTTTTATAGTTCTCAATCCGACATTTGTTTTCTGCAAGATTTTAAAGCTATTTAACTCCCATAGGCTATAGTTTTCTTATTTGTCAAATTAATAGGAATAATTTACCTAATACGTTTATAGCAAGAAATACAGTGAGAAGTTTTCAAAGCACTTAGTAAAATATTTGTCGTGTCAGTCTTCTCCCTTTTTCTTCTCCAACTTCTCTTCTGTTCCCATTTTCTTTACTTTCTTTCCCTTCCTTCTGTAGCTATTAATATAAAACTTAATCTTCTTTAAATTTGGGGAGATGACATTAAAAATTGTGAGGTGAAATTATTTATATCAATAGATATGAAAGTGCAGCTGGATTTCTGAAAATCCTTAGCTATCATATCTTCAAAGAACAGTGAAATATTGATATACATACATGAAAAAAATCTCTTTTTTTGTAAAGTTGCTTGTAATTCCTCACTTGTTAAAACAAAATCCAAGGGTTTGTACTATTAAGGTGGAGAAAAGATAAAACATCAAGACAATTCAGCTTCCTCATTTTATGTAGGAATTTAAGTATTTTATAATAAAAACAGACAATATTTAGCTATTAAAAATTATAAGCTTGTATTAAAATGTAATGCTAACCTTTGCCTCTTACGGCCACATAATGAGGCTGTGTTTTTGCAAGTGCAACCCTCTAGAAGATACATTTCTTTGATCATAGTATACATTCAGATAGGGATAAATAACATTTTAATACAGTATTATGTATTCTGGGGGAATTCAGCAGATAAGATGTTTTTCTTTTTTCTTTATCCCTCTCAGCTTTCCTTTTCTGACTCCACCCAACATTCTCTTCTCTTTGCTTGTCTTATCTGGCAACATGGTAAAAAAAAACAAAGTACAAAAACAAGACAAAACAAAATCACAAGATGTGGGCTCTAGTCCCAGACCTAAAAATTTCTAGCTGTTTCAGGTTAATCAAGTAATTTAACTTTTCAGGTTCTATGTTTTTGAATGTATACTATAACTATATTGCTCAGAGCTCTGGGAATACTAAATACATATGTATATGTAGATAAATTTTTTTTTTTACTGTGTCAAGCTTTCTTCAAATGTAAGATATTATATAATCAACCATCATATGATAAAAAATTTGCTTTTTATTATGTTTTATTTTTTGATTTAAGTTTTGTATTCTGGTCTTTATTTATACATAGGCATATGTGGTGAATGCCACTGCTGAAAACAGGAGGGGAAAAGCCCTACCTAAGTTAAACTTTTTTGTCATTTGATGTGCATATTCTATAGGCCAATGGCCTTAACTTGAAAACAAGCAAACTACTGTATAATCCTGTCTCTGGAAAATCTAACAGCAGTTTTACTAATTATGATACTCATGCAGGGAGCTCCTTATAGTGAGATAAGGTCACCAAAAAATTAGACCCCTGTAACCTATACTCTATGGGCAATATTTAGGCTTAGATTTCAGGAGTTCATAAAGCACTTTAGTCAATCCTCATATTCCATGTTCTGTCTAGAAGATATGATTTGGAAAAGAAATACCCTGAGTTACACTATACAAACACAAGTTTTTAAATTGTATTCTTTTCTTCCTTAGGAAATGATATAAATTACTATCTATATAAGCCTGTGAAAATACACCAGATACAGTGCATGATTCTATTAATGAGATAGAAACTTCTTGGCAAGGATACCAAACTCTGAGCCTAAATATCAACATTAGAAATCACGTGGGCTGGGTGTGGTGGCTCATGCCTATAATTCCAGCACTTTGGGAGGTGGAGACAAGAGGATTGCCGAGTCCAGGGGTTTGAGACCAGCCTGGTCAACTTGGTGAGACCTCGTCTCTACAATAAATCAAAAAATCAGCCGAGTGTGGTTACACGTATCTGTGGTTCCAGGTACTTGGAATTCTGGGACAGAAGGAATCACCTGAGCCCAGTAGGTTGAGACTGCGGTGGCCGTGAGGGTGCCACTGCACTGCAGCCTGGGTGAGAGAATGACTCCGACTCAAAAAGAAAAATAAATAAATAAATAATACGTAGTTTCTATTTCCTGTCAAGTTGGTGAATTAGCCCAGACCGCTGACTCCTTCCCTTCACATTATCTCTAGAGAAGCCATAAGACTTCAGGCACTAATAATAACAAAACAAAGTGAAAAACAATAAGAAGCATAAGTAACACCTGGGTAGACTGAAGCCTGACTTGACTGGCTGCTTGCTATGGAGTAATGTTTATCAGTTAGAAACAACAAATTACGTGAAGCAGCATGGATAAGTCATAAAGATACAGTGCTGAGCAAAAAGTGGTGAATATATAATACAAAAAATTACAGAAATTAAAAATGGACATAAGTTATAAATATATGTTTTATAAAAGCACATACAAATTTTAAAAATACACATTAACTTATTAGAATTATTGCCTAAGGAGTGGATGGGAGTGGAAATGGAGATAAAAAAGAACACACACACACACACACAAAACCTAATTTGAAGTCTGACCTAGAGTTCTAATCCCATATGACACATTTCTTCTGGGCTTCCAGCCTCAGGGATTTTACCTCGTGGCTATTGTTCACTGACAAATTTGTTCAGAGGTGAAAAATGAGACTTTCTCAAAAATGGTGATCTTAAGGAAGTCTTCACACTATAATAAACTAAATCTGGGAGTAGATGATTCAAAAGGAGGAACGAATGAGCCAAAGGTAGGACCACTCAAGAGCTAAAATTGCTTACGTTTCCCTGGGACTGAGTCTGGCCCCCTTCCCTCCTTTTCTTGTGCACTCTTCTACCTTCTGTCATGGGTTTATGCAGCAAGAAGGCCCTCACCAGACGCCAGCACCTTGAGGTTGGATTTTCCAGCCTCCGGGACTGGGATAAATATTTTTTTCTTTAAAATTTACCCAGTCTGTGGCATTTTGTTATGGCAACAAAAATGAGTAAGATGGACAATTGGTACCAGAAGTGGGATTGTTGCTATCACAAATACCTGAAAATGTAGAAGTACCTTTGGACATGAGTGCTGGGTGGAGGCTGGAAGAATTGGGAGGAGCAGGATAGAAAAAGCCTAGATTGCCATGAATGGAACATTGAGGGTGATTCTCGTCGGGAGTCCGAGGAAGAAAAGAAATGTGGGAGAAGCCTGGAACTTTTTAGAGATGACTTAAGTGTTGTGATCAGAATGCTGGCAGAAACGTAGACGGTAACGGCCATTCGATGCAGTCCCAGATGGAAACGAGACACAAAGCATTGGGAACTAGAGTAAAGGCCATGCTCAGTAGAAGGTGGCAGAGAACTTGCCTGAATTGTGTCCATGCCAGAGGATTTTATGGAAGGCAGAATTTAAGGGTGATGAAGTAGGATACCAGAAATTTTCAGACAAAATATTGAAGGAGCTCTGTGGCTATATTCCATCACATAAGGTAAAATGTGAATGGATAGAAATGATTTAAAGATGCTATTCATAGGTATCTTTAAGCGGGGCCAAAAGGTTTGGAAACTTCATGGCCTGGCCATGAAAAGAGTGACCAAGTCTTTAGGCGAGCAAACCAAGGGTGCTGCCAAGTGACCATTTGCTAAAGTGATTGCAACAGATAGAAAGGAGCCAGGTGCTATTAATCAAGGCAATGGAAAAAAAGACCCTGAAAGCATATCTGAGATTTCTGAGACTGCCCCTGCTATCACTGGCCTAGAGCTGGAACTTGGTGCGAGATTTGCAGAGAGTCACCTGGAGGACCTGTACCACTTCAGGCCTCTGCTCCTTGAATTCCAGTGAAGCATCTTTCCACTATCCCACACATGGCTCCAGTGTGCCGAGGTGCATCTCAACTCACTACTCTAGAATGTATAAGCCATAAACCTTGGTAGTGGTCACATGGTGTTAATTCTGCTGGCATGCAGAATACTAGAGCTGTGAGGCCATGACACCCTTCATGTAGATTTCAAATGATATGGACAACCTCGGGAGCCTAGGCAGAGACTTGTTACAAGGGCAGGGCCACTGCAGAAAGTTCCCACTAGGCCAATGCCCAGTGGCGCCATGGGAGCAGGGCAGCCCTCGAGACTTCAGGACTATAGGACCGCCAGCAAGTCACTCTTGCCTGAGAGAACTTCAGGCACAAGACTCCAACCTGTGAGAGCTACAGTATGACCTAGGCCCAGCAGAGCCACATGGGTAGGGCGACCCAAGGCCTTGGGGGCCCAACTCTCACCCCGTGTCCTCAGAAGATGGAAGTCAAGTCTATTCTAGAGCTTTAAGATTTAATGTTGGCTGGGCGCAGGGCTCATACCTGTCATCCCAGCACTTTGGGAGGCTGAGGCAAGAGGATTGCCTGAGCCCAGGTGTTTGAGACTAGCCTGGGCAAAACAAAAGAAAAAGAAAAAGAAAAGCAGCATTAATTCTTTTTTTTTTTTAAGTTGAAGTCTCACTCTGTTGCCCGTGCTGGAGTGCAGTGGGACACTCACGGCCACCTCAGCCCTGACCAGCTGAGCTCAGGTGATCCTTTCACCTCAGCCTTCCAAGTACTGGAACCACAGGCACGTACCACCACGTCCAGCTAATTTTTTGATTTACTGTAGGGATGAGGTCTTGCCATGTTGCTCAGGTTGATTTTGAGCCCCTGAGTTCTGGCACTCCTCTCACCTCTGCCTCCCAAATTGCTGGGATTACAAGTGTGAGCCTCTGTAATTAGCTGGGCGTGGTGGCTCATGCCTGTGGTTCCAGCTACTTGGAAGACTGAGGTGGTAGGATCACCTGAGCCCAGCAGGTCGAGGCTGCAGTAGCCGTGAGCATGCCACTGCACTTCATCCTGGGTAACAGACTGAGACTCTGACTCAAAAAAAAAAAAAAAGATTTAATGTTGTTTTTCTTTTTCTGTTGGGTCTTGGACTTACTTGGGACCAGTCATCTTCCTTTTCTTACTTCTCCCTTTTGTAATGGGAATATCTATCTTTTGCACCATGGTATTTTGGAAGTAGATAACTTATTTTGAATTCACAGGCTCACAGATGAAGAGAATTTGCCTCAGGATGAATCAAGTCTTGAGTGTCACCCACATATGATTTAGATAAGACTTTGGACTTTTGAGTTGGTATTGGGACAAGTTAAGACATTGAGGTTATTGGGATGGAATGAATGTATTTTGCATGAGCAGGACATGAATTTTGGAGGTCAGGGGAAAATGCTAAGGTTTGAATGTGTTCCCCAAAAAGCTTGAGTTGGAAACTTAATCCCCAATACAACAGTGTTGGGAGGTGGTGTTTAGGGAGGTGTTTAGGTCATTAGGGCGCCACTCTCAAGGAATGGATTGACACCAAGTGTAAAAGAGCTTGAGGCTGGGTGTGATGGCTCATGCCTGTAATCTCAGCATTTTGGGAGGCTAAATTGAAAGGATCACTTGAATTCAACAGTTCAAGACCACCTGGGCGACATAGCGAGAACTTGGTGCTTCAACAGTATAAAAAAATTAGCAGGACATGGTCCCAGCTACTTGGGAGGCTGAGGCAGATGGATCACCTGAGCCCAGGAGGTCGAGGGTGCAGTGAGCCATGATTGTGCCACTGTACTCCAGCCTGGGTGACAGAGTGAGACCCCAACTCAAAAAAATAAAATAATAAAAACACAACAAAAGGGCTTGAGGCTGCAAGTTCAATCTCTTGCTCTCTCTCCCTCTTGCACTCTCGCCTTCTGTCATAGGATGATGCAGGAAGGCCCTTATCAGATGCACCTTGATCTTGGATTTCCCAGCTTCCATAACTGTGAGAAATACATGCCTTTTCTTTACAAACTATCCAGTCTGTGATCGTCTGTTATCGCAATACTAACTGGACTAAGATGGGGTTCCAGAAACTCCCTCTCTATATGTAAGGTATTATTTCTGTAGGGAAATGTTCTAACCCACCCTGGTAGGCTGAATAATGACCGCCCCTCAAAGATGTCCATGTTCTAGTCCTCAGAACCTGTGAATGTTTTCTTCTATGGCAAAGGGACTTTGCAGATATGATTATGTTAGGGATCTTTCAATGGGGACCTTATCCTGGATTATCTGGGAGAACCCAGTATGATTGTCATGGTCCTCATGAATGTGTGGCCCAGATTAAAGTCAATAGTAGGGGAAAGAAGTGATGAAGAAAGGATTAAAAGTGATGCAAGGATGAGGCCAGGAGCCAAAGAATGCAGACGGCCTCTAGAAGCTAAGAACGGCCAGGAAATGGATTCTTTCTTGAAGTCTCCAGAAGGAATGAAGCCCTGCAGACACTTTGCTTTTAGACTTCTGATCTTCAAAACTATAAGACAATATATTTGTGTTGTTTAAAGCTACTACTTTTGAGATAATTTGTCATAGCAGTAGTAGGTAACTTAAACACATACTGTCTTTAGATGAGTCTTTGAATCTACCTATGGTAAGTTGCGTTTTTCCAAAGATGGTTCAAACTGTCTCCCATCCCAATGGTAGCAATGTCATTTTGCTACTTCCTTATCAAGAGGTAGGGTCTCTCCATCCCCCCGGCCTATCCCTTCGAATCTGGGTGGACCCTAGGGCTGCTTTGATAATTAGAATATGATGGAAGTGTTATGGTGTCCCTTAAAAGCCCTGGTAGCTTCTGCTTTCTTCCTCTTGGAAGCTAGCAGCCACAAAAGAAGCAACCATGTTAAGGCCAGCATGCTAAGTGAAACTCGACCACTTGGAGAGGAGCATGGGCTCCATCTTGGAAGCGGGTCCTCCAGGACCAGACTTCATGGCTGATTCTACATGCAGCAGAGACAAACAGCCCAACCGAAGTCTTCCCAAGTATTTCACCCACAAATCATGAGGCAAAAGAATGAGTGTTTAAGCTGCAAATTTAGAGGGGTTCTTTGATACTCAGCAAAAGATAGCCCCAAACCACCCTTTTGGGTAAGCTGGTGACCATCTGAACAATGAAGTGATATATGTATATATATAATGTCTTCAGTGGCTATTAAGAAATATGTCTTTAGCATTAAGTGACCCCCCCCATTAGTTTGAAGTCCCCACGTAGTTCATGTCTATTATTTCAGCTGTTATTTCTTAGTTTGCTAGCAATATCTGCCAGGCTGCTAAATTTGATTTCACAGGGTTGTCGTGAAGAATGAAAGTAACGAAGTAAACCTGCTTTGTAATATTGAGGCATTGCACAGATATTAGTTGCTATGCAATATTAGAATAATTAGAAGTTGCCTGTAGCAAGTAGAAACACTACCTCATTCTGTTGACTTAATTTACAAATCGGGCTGTGATGTACAGATTTGAGTATAATATTACATCTGTGCTACAGAATTAAAAACATAGGTTTATGTGACAATAAATTTCCCTGCTAATCCAAGGTTCTTTTCACTTCTGACTTTAAGGTTTTTCTCCAGAGAAAAACTGCCACAAACTTATTTTTCACGATTCTGTATTTATTGCCATTTTTACTTGTACATTTTTAATTTTTTCAAGAAGGTAGGTGGAAACATTTAGGGCTGAATTTTGAAGACTGAACCCTGTGAATTAATGGGAACATTAATATCCTACTTTTTGCCATAATATGTGCCATAATTGCAGATCAAATCAGTGTGTCTACCCTAAAAAGATAAATTTGTTTTCATTTACAGGTTGTCTTGGCTCTTTTCGGGCTGGATTATTTTCTCCTGCACGTCAGTCAAGTAATGCTTATCCTGACCTAAGGAGCTGTGTCAGTGGTAAGCACTTCTACTATCAGTTAAAAAAACAAAAACAGGCTGGGCACAGTGACTCACACCTGTTATCTGAGCGCTTTGGAAAGCTGAGTCGGTATGACTGCTTGAACCCAGGAGTTCAAGGCCAGCCTGGGCAACATAGCAAGACTTCATCTCTGCCAAAAAAAAAAAAAAAAAAATGGCCAGGCGTGGTGGCACATGCCTGTAGTCCCAGCTACTCAGGAGGCTGTCATGAGTATCCCGTGAATTCAGGATTTGAAACTGGTGTGCCATGATCATGCCACTGCACTGTAGCCTGGGCAACAGAATGAGACCTCGACTCAAATAAATACATAAATAAAAGCAAAGCAAAACAAACAAAAAACCTGCAAGTAAACTTCACCCTTGTAAATATAAACTAGTGTTTACAAATCAACGAATGAACCCTTGATGGCTTGTATGTCCAGCAAGGGAGTATTTTCAAACTGCATTTAAAAGAATGGTTTTTAGTTGTAATTGTTGCTGTTTTACTCATAGTGAATTTTTCACTTACTGTTTAAACTGAACAATGTTCATTGTTTAGTAAATTTTAGTTATTGACTTCAGAATTTTTGTTCCCAACAGCTTTATTTTGGCTGTTCTTGCATAATCATGTAATATGACCAATGCTACAGTTGATTAATAGGTCAGAGTGGAGTGTGTTTATTCTTCTAACTTTTGGCATTAGTCACATAAATGTGGAAAATGTTAAATGAATCAGATTAGCCTTCTTACTCTGAAGTTCACATAGGGCCTAATGATGTTTCTGGTAGATTTTTTTTTTTTTTTTTTACTAATATACCAGTTTTCCAACTGAGAGTCAATGCAAAAGTTACAACGGGAGGGTATAAATTGTGATGTTTCTTGAGAGAATATTTCACATGCAGTTTTGGCATTCTTTAGATGTTCATTTATCTGTGTTTTTCTCTCACTTGAAGTGGTTTTAATTATACAGGTAGAATAGTTTACCGGAACATATATATTTAGTTTATACTTTAAAACAATTACTGAAAGACAGGAAAATAAAAGTTTTGATAACAATTTTCTTTTTCTTTCTTTTTTTTTTTTTAGCTTGGAAAATATAGTTTATTTAGAAAGTAAATTGGAGAGAGGGAGAGAGAAAGAGGATATTCACATCCCCAAAGCAATGGCCTATAGCAATTTTCTGTTAGCTTGTTTTCTATCATTTTGACTATTACCTAATTTTTTAAAAATTTGGTAATTTTATGAGGACATTTTTTGAAAAATTCTGCAAAGCAAAGCAAAACAAAAAACTTGCAAGTAAAGTTCACCCATGTAACTATCAACTAGTGTTTACAAATCAACAAATGGACCCTGGATGGGTTGTAGGCCCAGCAAGAAAGTATTTCCAGACTGCATTTAAAAGAATGGTTTTTAGTTGTAATTGTTGCTGTTTTACTCAAAGTGAATTTTAGCTAGGCTTTAGCTAGGTTGGTTATTTATATACTTATTAAACAAAAGAAATTTTCTCTGGCTAGTATGAGCAAGATGATGAAGGATTGGAAGTACTGGGAGGATTGGAAGAATAGGAAGGAGAAAGAGCTTGTTCATTTGACTCGATAGGCTTGAGAAGCTGCTGTGGAAATATGCAGAAACCAAAGGTGTGTTGCAGTGGCTGGGAAGGGAACAGAGATGACAAATAAGGAAAGCAGCAAATGGCAGGGGTCAGAGGGTACCCTTTCAGCATTCCTTAGTTCATATGCTATGGATGGGTCCCTCTTAGCCTCCAGATTTCTACTTATTTTCAAATAAATTGTGTGACTAAAAAAAAAGATTAAGATAGCAACGAAGCACTGTGACATAAAGAAAATAAACAGGGCACTAATTGAGCTATACTTTGTATTTTTTTTAAATATTCTTCTTTTTCTTTGGTAATATTTCTTATTCTAAGATCTTTTTTATTTTATGTTAATATAGTCACTCTGGCTTTTTCTGGATTTGTGTTTTCCAGATGTATTTTCCCACCTATAAACTTTTAGCATATGTGTGTTTTTATGTTGCTATTTTATACAACCTGACAATTTCTGTCTTTTAACTGGAGTGTTAGATTGTAAGCTATTTATATCTAATGTAACCATTGATATGGTTGGGTTTAAATCTGTTGATCCCATCTGTTCTTTATTTTCTCCTTTCTTCCTGCAATTGTATTGATAAATATGGTGTTTTTTGGGGGTGTGAGGAGGGAGTTGATTCCATTGTATTTTTAAAATTTTTAATTAACTTTTATTTTTTGTAGAGATAGGTTTCTTGCCATGTTGTCTAGGCTGGTCTTGAACTCCTGGCCTCAAGTGTTTCTCCAGTCTCAGCTTCCCAAAATGCAGCCACCACTCCTAGACTCTATTTTATCTTCTATATTTGCTTATTAATTATACCCTTTAAGCTTCTTTTGCTCTTTTCTTTAGTGTTTACAATGTACATCTTTGTACATCTTTAACTTTTATAATCTACACTTGGATAATATTATGCTGTACATATGGTGTAAGACAGTGGTTCCCAACCTTTTGGCATCAGGGATCAGTTTCGTGGAAGGCAATTTTTCCACAGACTGGGTGAGGGATGTGCCGTCAAACCTAATTGCCAATGTTAATCTGTATTTGCACCCACTCCCCAGCACCAGCATCACTGTCTCAGCTCCACCTCAGATCATCAGGCATTAGATTCTTATAAGGAGCATGCTACCTAGATCCCTTGCACGCACAGTTCACTAGGGCTTGTGCTCCTATGAGAATCTAATGCTGCCACTGATCTAACAGGAGACAGAGCTCAGGCTGTAATGCCGGTGACGGGAGTGGCATAAATGCAGGTGAAGTTTCGCTTGATCACCCGCTGTTCATCTCCTGCTCTGTGACCTGGTTCCTAACAGGCCACAGACCAGTACCAGTCCATGGCCCAGGGATTGGGGACCCCTGGTGTAAGAAACTTACAATGATAAAATTTCATTTCCTCTTTCTACTTTTTGTGCTGTCTCTGCCACACATTTTAATATTATACATTAAAAACTCCACATTAATTAATACATAGATTAACAAATAATAAAATATTGGTTTATATTTTCTCATGTATTTATCATTTCTCGCATTCCATATTCCACTGTGTAAATAAAAATTTCCGTGTGGCAACATTTTCCTTCTGCCTGAAGAATTATCTTTAATATTTCTTATAGTGCATGCTTAATGAAGATAGATTTTGGAAGATCTTTTTTATTGGGTAAAGACTTCCGTGTTGATGGTGTTCTTTTAGTACCTTAAAGGTAATCACTCTATTGTCCACTTGCCTGAATAGATTTTAGTGAGAAATCTGTTGTCTTTCTTAGCTTTTATTCCATATATGTGGACTGTATTTTTTTCTATCTGCATTTCTTTTTCTTTTTTTTTTTTTTTTTTTTGAGTTGGAGTCTCACTCTGTCGCCCAGACTGGAGTGCAGTGGCCGCTCCCAGCCACCGCAGCCTCGCCTGCTGGGCTCCAGCGATCCTTCCACCTCAGCCTTCTGAGTAGCCGAATTACAGGTGTGTGCTAACATGCCCGGCTGATTTTTTGATTTATTGTAGAGATGAGGTCTCGCTGCCCAGGCGGGTCTCGAACCCGTGGGCTCAGGCAATCCACTCACCTCAGTCTCCCAAAGCTGCGGGGTTACGGGCTATTTTTCTTTGTTACTAGTTTTCTTCCATTTGAAATGATTTTTTTTTTCTTTATTCTGCTTGAGGTTTGCTGAACTTCTTAGATCTCTAGTATCATAGTTTTCATCAAATTTGGAAAATCATTTACTATGATTCAAAAATTGTTTTTTTCTTTCTAACTACATCTTCTCTTTTGCTGAGACTTCAGTAACACATATAGGCCATTTCATATTATTCAACAAGTCTTTCATACTTTGGTTGTGCATTTATTAATTGATTCTTTTAATGGTTCTTTCTTGATTTAGAATAGTTTTTTTGTTTGTTTTCACTTGAGTCAAGCACTCACCTGTCACCCAGCCTGGAGTGCAGTGGCATGGTCAGCATAGTCACAGCTCATCACAGCCTCAACCTCTTGGGCACAAGCGACCTTTCCATCTCAGCCTTCCCAGTAACTGAGACTGCATTCATGCACCGGTGTGCCTGGCAAATCTTTTCCTTCCTTCCTTCCTTCCTTCCTTCCTTCCTTCCTTCCTTCCTTCCTTCCTTCCTTCCTTCTCTCCTTCCTTCCTTCCTTCCTTTCTTCCTTCCTTCCTTCCCTCCCTCTTTCTTTCTTCCTTCCTTTTTTTTTTTGTAGAGATGAGGTCTTATGTTGCCCAGGCTGGTCTAGAATCTCTGGGCTCAAGTGGTTTTCTTGCCTCAACCACCCAAAGTGCTGAGATTACAAGCATGAACCACCATGCCTGGCTGTGATTTAGGATAGTTTTTATGTCTTCAAGTTCATTCTTCTTCTGCCATGAATAATTTACTTTTCACCTCAGTGTATTTTTATTTTTATTTTTTTGTCAGAGTCTCACTCTGTTGCCCAGGCTGGAGTGCAGTGGCACGCTTAGGGCCACTGCAGCCTTGACCAGCTGGGTTCAGGTGATCCTTCACCTCAGCCTTCCAATTAGCTGGAACTACAGGTGTGTACCATCATGCCTAGCTAGTTTTTTGATTTATTGTAAGATGAGGTCTTGCCTGGTTGCCCAGACTGGTCTCAAACCTCTGAATTGAGGCAATCCTCTTGCCTCTGCCTCCCAAATTGCTGGAATTACAGGCATGAGTCAGTATGCCTAGCTAGAATTTTTATTAAAGGGAGCATAAGCCAGGCTCGGTGGCTCAGCCTGTAATCCCGCGCCTTTGGGAGGCTGAGGTGAGTGGATTGCCTGAGCCCGCGGGTTCGAGACCCGCCTGGGCAGCGAGACCTCATCTCTACAATAAATCAAAAAATCAGCCGGGCGTGGTAGCGCATGCCTGTAATTCCAGCTACTTGAAAGGCTGAGACGGAATGCCGGAGACCAGCAGGTTGAGGCTGCGGTGGCAGGGAGCGGCCACTGAACTCCAGTCTGGGCGACAGAGTGAGACTCCAACTAAAAAAAAAAGGAGCATAATTGCATTTTATCATGAACTGAAGTAAAATTAAATAGATGTCTATTTCCTTCAGCCATTCCAGACCAGTGTAATCCTCTGCCCTGCAATGAAGATGGATATTTGATCTGCAAAGATGGCCAAGCGACCTTTACTTGCATTTGTAAATCAGGTTGGGAAGGAGAAAAGTGTGAATTTGGTATGTATAATAAACCCTGCTGGTTCTTCTGGATTTGCCTGCTGAAAAATTCTCTGAAGGTTATATTACTTAGAAAATAACTTATTTTTCCCTTTTTAGATGTCAATGAATGCAAAGATCCCTTAAATATAAATGGAGGTTGCAGTCAGATTTGTGATAATACACCTGGAAGTTACCACTGTTCCTGTAAAAGTGGTTTTTATTTGCTTTCAAATAAAAAAGACTGCAAAGGTAAGAGCAAAAAGATAGAATAAAGAGGTACTTATTATGTGAGAACAAAATTCATTTAAAGAAGTTTCCCCAAGAAATTCTTGGAAAGTTCTCTGGTTGTAACTGCTTACAGTAAACACACATTTTCATCCATATTGAAGACTTTTGATATTGTGGGGCTGCCTCTTAGTTTACAGTACTGAGAACAAGGATATTTTATTGTTGTTTTCTTATTGTGTGTGTGTTCCAGTAAAGAATTTCATTACAAAGTGAGGTTTCAATGTAGGTCTTTACATTCTACAGACTTTGCAAAATTATTGTTCATCCTTTGTTTTCAGACACTAGCATATTATTTCTTTTTTTTCTTTGCAGAATCTATTTTATTGTTTCATTCCTTTCTTTTCTTTATCTTTATTCAGTAATATAAGTAGCTATACAAAGAAATATGCCACATCCTTAATAACCTTTTCTGTTGTATTTGATTTTTCCTTTTCAGAAATATCTTTCTGATTTCTAATCTAAAACCTTCATCTTGCACCTTGTTTCCTGTTTTAGTTTGGGAAAGATAAAGAAGATCTGGTTTTCTTTTTCCTTACACACTTAAGATCACATCATCGCTTATAGCTCTGCCTTATTTTCTTCAAACTTAAGTAATATCTCTCAGTTTAACTTTCTAACAAGTCATTTTATTAGCATATTTCTTTGTTTCCCTATCCCAAATCTTGCCTTTTTTTTCTTCTCTGTCCCTGTACACTGTCCCTTCTGCCTGACTGTTTTACTTGCTGTAACTAAATCTTTTAATATTCATGCTGTGTGTGTGAATAACTAAAAACAAAATTTCCCAACCTGGAGTTAAATCTTGCTTTTAGAAACTGAATACAGTTAACATAGAAGTCCACCACCATTTGTTTTGCTAAGAGGTTAAAAGAAAGAAGTCAGAATGTAAACTTCTTGTTCAACACCTTACTTATATTTGTTTCAATAAAACCCCAAATAGGATTCATATTCAAATGGTTTGTATCTTGCTGTATAATAGTGTTTACTATGATGTAGTTTAATACAATTTAAAGTGCAGTTAAATGACACTAAACTGAACTGCATTAACTAACAACTTCTTCTAAACAAGTATCCAATGTGTGACCATATGTCTTTCTCATCTGCCTATTTGAAGGTCTGTTTGAGTGCAGATATTTAGAATAATTAGAGTAATGGCATCATTAGAACACCAGTTATGGAAAACCATTGTAATTCTGGGTACTATATGCACCCCCTACACAAATAACACCCATTCACACATCTTTATTCAAACACTTGAAGAGTCTGTCTAAATAATTTGTGACTTTTTTAAATTAAAAAATATTTTATTCTTATTCACTGAGTTATTACATGCACATATGTATAAATGACAACAAAACATTCTCTTATATATAAAAATATTTCTGACGACCAGAACGTTTGTTTTTATATTCTCCATTTGCATAGTCCTTTATCCATGATACTTAAGAGTTAGAGTACAAAACAGAAGAATATGTAAAACACTATTGCAATGGGACCCTTGCCAAGATGTGGATATGCTTGGGATCAAGTTGTCAGGACTGGTCTATGAAGGCAAGAATACAGCTTTTCCTCAGACATTAGATGTCAGTGTAGAGTCATAAAATCAATGTACTGTAACCTAAACTCATATGATCTAAATAATTCCCTGCAATATGCCTGAAACCAAAGGATTTTAGTCATATGTTTTTACTTTATTTAAAAAATATGGATTTTATAGATCTTTTTAGAAAATTAAATATTTTATTTTTAATTAACTAAAGACTCACACAAAGTTGTGAGAAAGATTACAGAGAGAGCCCATATGCCCTCTACCCAATTTTCCTTAATGGTAATGTGTTATGAAATTATAGTATAATATCACATATTATTGACATTGGATATTGACATTGATATAGTCAAGAGAAAGAAAAGTTCCCACAAGGGAACTGATTCCATTATTTTTGTGCAAGTTATTTTAAATTGAGTGATATCTGAAATGTTGGCAGTTAGTCTGTGGAAAAAAGCTTTAACTTTTTAGGATAGAAAATATGCTTTCCTGGCCGGACTCAGTGGCTCAGCCTGTAATCCCAGCACTTTGGGAGGCCGAGGCGAGTGGATTGCCTGAATCCATGGGTTCGAGACCAGTGCGGGCAACTTGCTGAGACCTCATCTTTACAATACATCCAAAAAATTAGCCAGGTGTGGTAGCACACGCCTGTAGTTCCAGCTACTTGGAAGGCTGAGGAGGAAGGATCGCCGGAGCCCAGCAGGTCGAGGCTGGAGTGGCCGTGAGTGTGCCACTACACTCCAGCCTAGGCAACAGAGTGAGACTCCAACTCAAAAAAAAAAAAAAAAAAGAAGAAGAAGAAAAGAAAAGAAAATGTGCTTTCCATTTCCGTTCTGAATTTGTGTTTCTCCAGAGAGTACAGATGAGAAAAGTTCACTAATAATTCCATCTCCATTGAACCCTTTCTGTCTCTTGCTTTATTTTCTTCACAGGTGCTTATCTGGTAACTAGTTACAATCAAAATTGTATCTCTTACTTCATTATGCAATGTAATAAATGCATCTGAAATTTCTGGAATATTAATTTAGCACTAAATTAATATTGGAATAACTACAGATGTCTAAGTACTCTGAGAACTTAATCTCATTTTAAATTTGAGTCACAATTGAATAGGCAACCATTATAGTGTACAGATTAGATATTTGTCCATTTCCAAAGGAACAAGGTAAAACAGATGAGCCATCTCATTTAAAAAAAATATTTGTGGTGATATGAAGTAGAATTTTATTTTCAAGAGCATATTTCAGAAGCATATATTTACATATGCATTTGAAGAATATGGTTGAATCTCTTTCATTTATTTTCATACTATAACCTGGCAGATAAGAAAATAACTAAAGCCCTCTCCTTTCAAATAACTAGAAAGGAGGGTGGCAAACATCAAACAAATTCCCAATGCATTTGTATAAATAAATCATATTTAGTGAACTACAGTATGATGATAGATTTAATATTTTTGTTCCAAAGCCAATTTGTTGTCTTATCACAGTATTAAATTAGATCCAGGGAACACGATTCAAGGTTCTTTGCCTGTGTCTGCAGGTATGAGGGGAAAAGTTTTTTTAATATATTGATTTCATTTATAGATCTGGATGAATGCTCTGTGAAGCCAAGCATCTGTGGCACAGCTGTGTGCAAGAACATCCCAGGAGACTTTGAATGTGAATGCCCTGAAGGCTACAGATACAATCCCAAATCAAAGTCTTGCGAAGGTAGAATGCTGGAGGTGTCATTGTTGGTGGTGGAGAGGGTGGGTTGCAACCCTGAGTTGATACTTAAAAGTTTAGCTTTGACCAGGCGTGGTGGCTCATGTCTATAACCTCAGCACTTTAGGAGGCCGAGGTGAGAGAATTGCCTGAGCCCACGGGTTCGGGACCAGCCTGGGCAATCCGGCAAGACCTCAGCTCTACAATAAACCAAGAAAAATTAGCCAGGCGTGATGGCGCATTGCCTGTAGTTCCTTCTACTTGGAAGGCTGATGTGGAAAGATTGCCTGAGACCAGCAGGTCGAGGCTGCAGTGACTGTGAGCGTGCCACTGCACTCCAGCCTGGGCGACAGAGTGAGATTCCAACTCAATAAATAAATAAATACATAAGTTTTGCTTTGTTTGACATTGGCAATCAGGTTTTTTAATTCTTGATATAGCTAGCATTTTCAATTGGGTAATCGTTGGCTTCCTGCCAGAGTAAAAGTATGCAAGACACATGCTGTTTAGGTTTCATTATGCACTCCGATTGGCCCTTTAAGCCAGTGGTCCCTAACGTTCCTGGCATCAGAGACTCGTTTTGTGGAAGACAGTTTTTCCATGGGGAGGGAGAAGGAAGGAAGAGGGGGGATCCTCAGGCATTAGATTCTCATAAGGAGCACTCAACCCAGATCCCTTGCATGCTCAAGTCACAATAGTGCTCACACTCTGTGATAATCTAATGCCGCTACTGTTGTGACAGAAGACAGAGCTCCGCTCGCCGGCTGCTTACCTCTTGCCATGGGGCCCAGCTCCTAACAGGCAACTTACCAGTCCTGATCCACGGCCAGGAGGTTGGGCACCCCTGCTTTAAAAACTGTATATGAGTTGGCAACCTCCATGTGTGATAAAAGCAAGATAAACATATTTTCATAATATTCACACACATAATGAGAATTTCAGCTTGGAAGGAAAAACACATTCGTACAAAAGAAAGACACAAGCTTAAAAATTATCTGAATTAGTCAGGCGAGATGGCTAATGCCTATAATCCTAGCACTTTGGGAGGCCAAAGCAAAAGAATTTCCTGAGTCCAGGGGTTCGTGGTGGCACGTGCCTGTAGTTCCAGCTACTTGGAGGGCAGAGGTAGAATAATCGTCTGAGCCCAGGAGGTCAAGGCTGTGGAAGCCGTGATTACACCACTGCACTCAAGTCTGGGAGACGGAGACTCTGGATCAAAAAACAAACAAAAACAAAAAAACCCCAAAATCAAAAACCATTGCGCATGGTTAAAAACTTTAGTCCAAGCTTTCCAGTGATCTTCTGTGCATATGTCATTTATTCTAACACGGGCAATGACACTGTTGTATTATCTCATGATAACCAAATGATAACGGCACTCTAGAAATCTGGAAGTATTGTTCAGTAAAGTCAGTGCCTGTGGATTTGGGATAGCCTTTTGGAGTACTGTTACTTGATTTGGCTATAGTGGGGTCCCGTGTGCCTTGGGTGGCTCAAATCATATTTGAGTTGTTTGTTTGTTTATAATAATATGCACAAATGATCTCACACCCTCGTTCAAATTTTTAAAAATTTCACGATGGATTTAATGTCATGGCTAAACCTCAATCAATAATAATTTTTCTATTGTGGCAAAACAGGTATAATATATAATGTACACTCTAAAAAATAGATTTAGGGGTACAAATATAGTTTTAATGTACCCTTTTTTTTTCGAGTCAGGGTCTCACTCTGCCACACATGGCTTACTACACCCATGGCTTACCACAGCCTCAATGTCTTGGGCTCAAGTGATCCTTCTGCCTCAGCCTCCCAAGTGGCTGGGACTGCAGGCATGTATCACCACACCTGGCTAATTTTTTTTATTATTATTTTTGTAGAGACAAGGTCTTGTTATGTTGCCTAGGCTGTTCACGAGCTCCTGGGCTGAAGCAACCTTTTGTCCTCAGCCTCCTAAAGTGCTGGGCTTACAGGCATGAGCCATGACACCTGGCCTTAACCATTTTTAAATGTCAAATTCTGTGCCATTAATTCCTCCTACACTATTGTGCAGCTATCGTTGTCGTTTATTTCTGAAATCTTTTATCGCCCCAAATAGAAACTCTGTAACCATTAAGCAATGAGAATTTCCTCTTATTAGTTACCTTGTTAGAGGTAACCTCCAGCAACTGCTAATCTACTTTTCTTCTTGATGAAGTTGCCTAAATGAATAATCATTTTAGACTAGGTTTTGTTCAAGTATAAATGTTCCTTTTGAGATTGTGATGTTTTACCTTCTTGTGCACACACCAAAAATATCCTCTCCAAGCCACACATACCATTTCTACTCTCCCACCACTTCAGACAGAAATTACTGTGGTGATCCCTAGACATTTGACGATTTATCGTTAGCAGACTTCATCATCTATATTGCAGTTTTATTCACTGAATGACAGATTTTTTAAAAAAGACATATGACTATATGTTTATCTAATTTTAATCATATATCATGCAATTTTAATGCGACTGAACAATCACTAATTTGGGGGATCTATTTTAAATCCTTTTATGAGAACATATTCAATAATAGCATTTATGAATTTGGAATTTTTTAAAGATCACAGGGTACACCCAATTAAAATGCCAAAATGTAGCTCTGAAGGGGACTTTAACTTAAACATGATATTACAAACTTTCAAGAAAAATATGGAGTGAGGACATGGATAATATCGGAGATCATATCACAATGAGGTTTTTTTTTTAATAAAGGTATATTAAGAAATAAAGATATGACTGGGCACAGAGACTCACGCCTGTAATCCCAACACTTTGGGAGGTGAAGGTGAGAGTATTGCCTAAGTCCAGGGGTTCGAGACCAGCCTGGGTGACGTGGTGAGACCTTGTCTCTACAATAAATCAAAAAAATTAGCTGGGCATGGTGGTGTGTGCCTGCAGTTCCAGCTACTTGGAAGGCTGAAGCGGAAGGATCTCCTGAGTCCAGCAGGTTCAGGCTGTGGTGGCTGTGAGCGTGTCACTGCACTCCAGCCTGGGTGATAGAGTGAGACTCTGACTCAAAAAGAAGAAAAATAAAATAAAGATATGTTCTTGAATTTACTGCCACCATTAATGATTGCATTATGAGAAGTCAAATGTTCTTGATATTGTCATATTAACCTCAAAGGACTCTTCCCTTCCCTACCTTTTCCTTTCTTTTCTTCTTTTCTTTCCGTCTTTCCCCTCCCTCACCGTTCCTCTTCCTGTTTATTCATTTTTCTTTTCTTCGAAGCAATGAATTAGGAGCTAATCTCAATGGAATTCAAATAATCAGACATGACAGTTAAGTTGAGACTCAAGCTTTTTTTTCTTCAAATTAAAAATCAAAAATGACCCTAATTGTCATACTTTTATTATTCATCATGGAAAGTTATAAATTAAATTTGTTGCTTCAAGTGTGTACATAAATAAAAATCGCACTCGTAACTCACTTAAATTTCCATGTCAAGTGTTTAAACGTGACTTCATGCCACAGGAATTTCTTTCCCTAAGGATCTATTATCATGGATTATCTCATTAACATCAGAATATCCCTCTGCCTATTAGATTGCACATTTGGAAGTTGCTAAAGTTTGTTTGTTTGTTTGTTTGTTTGTTTGTTTTTCCCTCCCAGATATAGACGAGTGTTCAGAGAACATGTGTGCTCAACTTTGTGTCAATTACCCTGGAGGTTACTCTTGTTACTGTGATGGGAAGAAAGGGTTCAAACTTGCACCAGATCAGAAGAGTTGTGAGGTAAACATTTTACAATGCTAAATTTCTCGTCTCTTTTCTAAAATGAGAGATCCAGGTACTTTTGTTTTTATTTTTATTTTTTATTTTTTGAGTCATAGTCTTACTCTGTCGCCCAGGTGGGAGTGCAGTGATATGCTCACGGCCACCTCGGCCTCAACCTGCTGGGCTCGGGTGATCCTTTTGCCTCAGCCTTTCAAGTAGCTGGAACTACAGGCATGCACCACCACACCTGGCTAATTTTTTGATTTATTGTAGAGACGAGGTCTTGCCAAGTTGCCCAGGATGGTCTCGAGCCCCTGGACCCAGGCAATCCTCTTGCCTCTACCTCCCAAAGTGCTGGGATTACAGGCGTGAGCCATCGTGCCCGGCCAATTTTTTGATATGTTGTAGACACGAGATCTCGTCAAGTTCTCCAGGCTAGTCTTGAACCTCTGGGCTCAGGCAATCCTCTTGCCTCCGCCTCCCAATTAGAAGTGTGAGCCACTGCGCCTGGTGCCAGGTGCTTACTTTAACATAGATGAAGTAAGTTAGGAAAATACAGATGTTCTACAACAATTACTGTAGTTATAAGTAAGCTATGAGTCATGATCTATTTACTAATTATGGTCATGTGAGTCATAACATTGGATAATTAGTGACTGGTTTTTTTTTTAAAAAAAGGCTGCAGAGTGATAGTTTAGAGCGTACTCACCTGTAGCCTGTACACTGGTAAAATGCAAAGTGTATTGCTCACTTAAGAAACCAAGAAAAGCTGAGGTTAATACTCCTTTTTGAAAAAAAATTCTCCACAGAACTTTAGTGAAAACCTTTTCCAGTGTCTACTTTCCTGTATTCTACTCTGACAAATTTGATCACGCCTTAGTCATGTTAGTACTTGTAAAAATGCTCATAAACTTTCAGATGGAAATAGCTTTGTCAGACTACAACTTAGTGGAGTTTAAGTATATCAAAATTCAGAGATGTTGATTTTGTTAATTTGTGTCTCTCAGACTTGCTTTTAGTTACTAAGATTTACTGTATAATTGATCCAGAAATTGAATGTTGGATGTAGGTCCTACTTTTTCCCTTCATGAAATAAATGTCTACATCTGAAGCTCTCTCTCTCTCTTTTTTTTTTTCCTAAATAAGAATCGCTTTTGGTGATCTTTTCAATTCTTGCATCTTTTTTTTTTTTTTCGAGTCAGAGTCTCACTCTGCTGCCCAGGTTAAAGTGCAGTGGCAAGCTTACAGCCACCACAACCTCAACCTCCTGGGCTCAGGCAATCCTTCTGCCTCAGCCTTCCAAGTAGCCGGAACTAAAGGCTCGCACTACCCTGCCCAGCTTATTTTTTGATTTATTGTAGAGACGAGGTATCACCAAGTTGCCCAGGCTGGTCTTGAACCCCTGAGCTCAGGCAATCCTCTTTCTTCGGCCTCCCAAAATGCTGGGATTACAGGCTTGAGCCATCGTGTCTGGCCTGCATCTCTTTTTTTTTTTAATAAGTGGATATGAAATTATATATGAATATGAGGCAGACCAGAAAAATGTTCTAAATGATGATTTAGCTACATGTATACACATAAGTCTATATCTGTCACCCAGACAAAGGTGTGTAAGTCCAAGAAAGGGTAACACTCAATATTATGTCACCTACTTGGTAAAGGAGGATAAAGTAGACTAGTTGGCATGTATAGTAACTTTGGTGCTACTTAATTGAAATGCCATGCTGTGTGAATGTTTGTTTTGTAATTTAGCCCTTTATTAGTTCAGTATGTGTTGTAGTAACATATCACCATCTGAATCGATTTATTAAAGTTCTAAGAGGAAATGAAATGTTATTCCTGGGCCTATATATTTAATACAGTGCTATGTACACAATTCCTTTCAAAGTATCTCTGTAGGTTTCCAAGAACTTATCCCTTAAAAACTTTCCATTTTAATTTTTGGTTTCACTCTTAGGAAAAAAAATACTTGATACCATATTATGACTCTAAATCACTTTCTTGTCAATTTCTTGGAGACTTTGATATCTTCTATTTATCTCCTCCGTGTTTTCTAGTATTCCCTTTACTATCTCGATTACCCATTCTTGCTCAGAAAATTTTTGTTTAATGAATGAATGAGTGAATGAATGAGATGTTGCTTATTAGTTCATTCGTTCTTCCACCTATTTTCGACTCCAAATAAAAATAATTTTCAGACATAATTCATGGAATGTATCACACCTGACAATATAAAAAATACATGTTGGTACTTGAAGAAAAAGATTGTGTTTAGGACTGAGATAAATCTTAAGCCACACGCATTGAGTGAGACTTTATTTGGTTTATTTATTTTATTTTATTTATCTATTTTGAGTCTCATTCTGTCACTCAGTCTGGAGTGCAGTGGCATGCTCATGGCCACTGTAGCCTCGACTTGCTGGGCTCAGGTGATCCTTCTATCTCAGCCTTCCAAGTAGCTGGAACTATAGGCATGTATCACCATGTCCACCAAACTTTATTATTATTATTTTTTGAGTCAGAATTTCGCTCTGTTGCCCAGGCTGGAGTGCAGTGGCATGGTCGTTGCTATCGCAGCCTCAACCTCTGGGCTCAGGCGATCCTTCTGCTTCTTCCTTACAAGTAGTTGTAACTACAGGCATGTGCTAACATGCCCGACTAATTTTTCTTGATTTATTGTAGAGATGAGGTCTCACCATGTTGCCCAGGCTGGTCTCGAACCCCTGGACTCACAATCCTCTTTCTTTCTTTCTTTCTTTCTTTCTTTCTTTCTTTCTTTCTTTCTTTCTTTCTTTCTTTCTTTCTTCTTTTTCTCTCTTTCTTCTCTTTCTCTCTTTCTCTCTCTCTCTCTTTCTCTCTCTCTCTCTCTGTCTTTCTTTTTGATTTATTGTAGAGATGAGGTCTCGTCAACTTGCCCAGGCTGGTCTCAGACCCCTGGACTCAGACAGTCCTCTTACATTCACCTTCCAAAGTTCTGGGGTGATAGGTGAAAGCCGCTATGCCCAGGGGAGTGAGACTTAAAAACACATATATTCTTGGAGGTTTTGCTGTTTGACCATACAAGGAAGTGGAAGATGTTACTTTATTATTACTAAAGGTATTCTTAATTTATTTTAGTGTATCACAGAAAATATAATAGGAACCTGATAAAGAAAGAGCAATCTGACACAAACACCAAGCAATAACGAATTCATTGTGTTGGTTTGTTTCGTGTTTCTTTCCAGATTGTTCCAGTGTGCCTTCCTTTGAACCAGGACAAAAATTATGAGTTACTTTACTTGGCAGAGCACTTTGCAGGAGTCGTTTTATATTTAAAATTTCGTTTGCCTGAAATTACCAGGTGAGGAACAACACCAGCGATCATTTCTAGATGTTAAGTGGGTAAAAGCAGAAAAAAAATTGACTGAAAAGGTTTGAAATGTATAAAACTGTATTCCCAATTAGATTATTTGTATGCTACCATCACATGTCATGGGGGACTCTAAAGTTAATTTGCTCCTTCACACATGTAATTTTCATGCTCAAAACTTTTGGGGTCATTCTAGGCTGATCTTCTCAATTATCATTTTACCTCATTTTATCATTCTTTTGTAGTAAATACTTATTTACAAAGCTGGGGAAGTAGATTTAAGGTACTTGTGAAGTTTTATTGTTCTTCATCCCTGTTATGAAAACTAAGTAATAAAAAATGTTTATTGTATTGCTTTCATTTTATTTATTTTTTTGATTCAGAGTCTCACTCTGTCGCCCAGGCTTGAGTGCAGTGGCATGCTCACGGCCACCGCAGCCTCGGTCTGCTGGGCTCAGGAAATCCTTCCTCTTCAGCCTTCCAAGTAGCTGGAATCACAGGCGTGCACCACCACACTCGGCTAATTTTTTAATTTATTGTAGAGATGAGGTCTCGCCATGTTGCCCAGACTGATCTTAAACCCCTGACTCAGGCAGTCCTCTCAGCTCTGTCTCTCAAAGTGCTGGGATTACAGGCCTGAGCCATCACACCTGGCTTTTAGACTATCATTATATTCCAAATTATTAAGGAAAATTTACAAGGTTGCTTAAGTGGTATTTTGAAGACATACATTGCATAATTTTAGTCGACTGAATACTTTGTCATCTCTGTGGTTAGATTGGCTTTAGGAAGGGAGTACTCACTATGATTTTGAGTCATGGTTCTAGTTTAGTTATCAGCATTTCTTAGAATCACACATTGTTGGAAGTAGAAGAAAGAAATTGTAATATTGTTAGAATACGGGAAGGAAAAAATATTTGAGACTTATTATGCAGTCCAAATTTTAAAATATTTTAATTAAATAAGTATGCATTGTCTACATGAGTGATCATTCATTAAATAATTCAACTCAATTCATAGACATCTTATTATTGAAGAGCATTGAAAGTTATATTGAGGTTTACTTATACAGTTGTGTGAATGCAACCTTCCATTTCCCCCCAATACCTGGTTTTCCCAGCTAACATCTCAGAGCAAATCTTCTAATGATGTCGACTGGAGACAACCCTGTCTAGCTGTGAAAATAATGAGAATGAGAGAGAAAAGAATGTTAGTTATAATATACCTTCAGACACTTATTTATTTATTTTGAGTAGGTGTCTCACTCTGTCACCCAGGCTGGAGTGCAGTGGCATGTTCACAGCCACACAACCTCGACTTGCTAGGCTCAGGCGATCCTTTCGCTCAGCCTTCCAGGTAGCTGGAACCACAGGTGTATGCCACCACACCCAGCTAATTTTTTTGATTTATTGTGGAGACAGGTTCTCACCATGTTGCCCAGGCTGGCCTCGAACCCCTGGGCTCAGGCAGTCCTCTCGCCTCCGCCTCCCAAAGTGCTGGGATTACAGGCAGGAGCTACTATGCCCAGTTACCTTCAGATACTGGAAGGAGTACAATGCCATGTCCTGAGGTTCCTCATCCATGGATTCACCCAAACCTCGGATAAACTATATTAAAAAATAAAAATAAAACAATACAACGGAGCAAAGTAATGCAAATAAAAAGCAATACAGTATAACTGTTTACATAGCATTTGCATTATATTAGGCATTGTATGTATTCTAGAGATGATTTAAAGTATACTAGAGAATGTGCACAGGTTATATGCAAATATTGTGTCATTTTATGTAAAGGATTTGAGCATCTGTAGATGATAGTATTGACTCGCATCCTGGAACCAAAGCCCTGTGGATACCTAGGGATGAGTATATTCATTTCTCACTGATCATTCACAGTAGTTTGATCCCTAACATTTAATCAGAATTGACCAAATAATTATTTTTATCCAGAGTGTGTTTATGATTCATTTAATTTAAACCTTTAACTGAAGTATAATGTATGTACAGAAATGTACATGTATATTTAAACGTACAGCTTGATGAATTTTTATAAATTTTCTGTGTAGCTAACATAAGAACAGCAAATGATTTTTTTTTTTTTGCAAATTCTTTTATCTCTGTTTCCCATGATCAAATAATTCCCTTACCCAAATGTTAACAAATTCATTTTTTTTCCCACTTCACAATATTCTGAAAAAGGATGAATTGTTCCCCAGTGTAATGAATCAGTGTACTGATGATGTATTCCAGAAACAAAATATGCAGAACAGGACTCTTTGAAATACCAATTGAACATAATTTTACAAAGAGAAGGAAATTATCTCCATAATAGGATCAACTTCTGGAAACTCCAGAGCATATGCAGATTTGAATTTTGGCAAGGTAATGCATGCCTCACACCAGCAAAATGCTCAGATAATTATGAAAGAGGATAGCTGTCCTTGTTCCAAGCAAAATGGTTCTTTTCTACAGAATCTGAGTTCAGTGCATTCCAACATGCTTTACTCCCCATTTTACCTTTTTTGACTATTTCCTTGGAATTCTAAAGATGGAAAAGTTGAATTCCCCTTGTGAGAGATCATTGCCCCTTTGCAAACAGTGACTCTATGACTATTACTGCTACACTTTGGGATAAGAGTGTGGGATTTCTTCCCGCCTTAGTTAGCAGTTATCTGAAGTCCTGACTGTGTCACCTAAGTGACCTTTATTTTAACTTAACTCAGGTGACTAATAGTTATGCATCTATTTTTCTTTTTTTACTGTCTGTCTTTTTTCAATTATTTTGATTTGCTGGTCCCTTGAAACTTTCATGCTGCTTCTCATTACAGTGTTCTAAGAATACTGAATCAACATGTTATTTTTAATCCGGCATCCCTAAGCTTTTTCTCCCCTGTAATAGCTACATATATGTCTAGCAACAAAGCTCAGACACCCTCAGACACATGAATAACCTGTACAATAGCTTTTAAGTTTTCCTTCTCCATAGTCTCCTGCAGTGATTTATACAATGAAATCAAGCTCACAGACATACTTTCAAGTTTTTTATTTTTCTTGCCACACATGAAGGCTTAATTATGTCTACAGTCATCCAGATACTATCTTGTAGGTCTCTGTGAGTGATTCCTTCCTGACATATGTGAAATCATGAGAAAAATACGCATCTTGATGGATAAACCAATCATTAAATGGTAACATCTTTTATTAATCACTTATGGATACAGAAAAAAAAACACCACCACATCTTAATGTCAGATTAGGTAGTGTACAAAAGGCTCCAGGAGAGATATAGTATGCCTGATATTTGTATATGTGCATTAATTCCAGCATTCGAAAGATGCCTTCAAAACGTATGCCAAAAAAAGATGAAAAATTACCAAAGCATCCTTGGGGAAAAGATTCCGAATAAGCAAGAAAATACAATAACTTGATTTTAAACACACATGGAGCCAGAGACCATACATAAACAGTCTAATTCTGCCCTTTTATTAATTCCAGAGAACAAAAATAAATAGCTGACCCTTTCTACGTATTACTGTTTGCCAGTACTAGAAAAAAAAAATAATGCATTGAGCCTTTTCCTTTTTCTCACTATGAAGGATCTCTGTTTATTTTTTAGATTTTCAGCTGAATTTGATTTCCGGACATATGATTCAGAAGGTGTTATACTGTTTGCAGAATCTCTCGATCACTCAGCTTGGTTCCTGATTGCTCTTCGTGATGGAAAGATTGAAATTCAGCTCAAGAATGAGTATACAAGTCAAATCACAGTTGGAGGCAAAGTTATTAATAATGGTCAATGGAATATGGTACGTTCTGCTGACTTTCTAAATATCTTCTCACTTTGATGCAGTATGGTATATGAAGTATATTCTAAACACTGTAAATCCCTGTAACAGCCTCGGAATCAATTCCCTCACTTAGCATATTTAAAACTTACCATAACTAAAATTGTTTTTAGTTATTTGCTTGATCTACTCTTCTTTGATGTTTTACTTTTTTTTCTTTTTGAGTCTCAGTCTCACTGTCGCCCTGGCTGGAATGCAGCAGCATGCTCAGGGACACCACAGCCTCGACCTGCTGGCCTCGGGCGATCCTTCCGCCTTATCCTTCCAAGTAGCTAAAACCACAGGCGTGCACCACAAAACGCTCGGCTAAGTTTTTGATTTATTGTAGAGATGAGGTCTTGCCAAGTTGCCCAGGCTGGTCGCGAACCCCTGGGCTCAGGCAATCTTCTCGCCTCCGCCTCCCAAAGTTCTGGGATTACAGACGTGAGCCACTGCACCTGGCACATTTTACCTTTTTTAGTGGCTGTCATTTGATGGACAATGATGTCTCTCCTATAGATCAGGGATTATTAGGAGCCTAACAGTTTATGCAAAGACATCACTGATCCAGAAACCGCTCCCCACTTGACACCAACAATTTTAAAATGGAAGAGAAATACATGTAATTACAAAGCCAAAAAGTGAATTCAACTTTAAATACAAGGAGATAGATAAGTAATCAATTTTGAACAAACAGCATACCCTAGCAGGTACCAATCAGCATGCTTAGAAACTCGCATTTTGGTTGAATCCTATAAAGAGCCTTTATTTTAATAATGGAGTACAGCACTTTAATCAACCTGATTAAAATGGGACTTCTTTTTTGGAGAAGGGATTACTGTTGGTCAACAAACAGTGGAAAGAAGTCTTTTCTGCAGTAGAGTCATTGCTGCTGTCAGTAGAGGGTAGCTGACAGATCATCTCCACCTGAGAACGCAGTGCCCCAAAGGGACACCATCTATGCCCACGGGAACTAGAGACTAGGCTTGAGAAGCCATGTTGTGAAGTCATCGCTGAGTTATTTTGTTTCTTTATTATCCACCTTTGCACGCATTTATTCAATAAGCTTTTAGTGAGCACCTTTTTTTAACTTTTAAATTTTTTATTTTGAAATTGTGGGGTACAATCACTTTTTTTTTTAAGTTGAGGTCTCACTCTGTCACTCAGGCTGGAGTGCGTTGGCAAGATCACAGCTGGACCTCCTGGGCTCAGGCAATCCTCCTGCCTCAGTCTCCCAAATAACTGGGAATACAGGCGCTTACTATCACACACGGCTCACTTTTTAAATATTTTGTAGTGATGAAGTGTTGCTATGTTACCTAGGCTGGTCTCAAATTCCTGGGCTCAAGCAATCCTCTTTTAGCGAGCACTTTTAAAGTACTAGGTGCCCAAGTTCGAGAACTCCAGCAAGAGATTTTTCTTGCTCTTGAGCTTAGTACCTCATAGATAAGCAGCTGTTGATTGATTGACTGAGTCGGAGTCTCACTTTGTTGTCACCCAGGCTGGAGTACAGTGGCACGGTCATGACTCACTGCAGCCTCGACCTCCTGGGCTCTGGCGATCCTTCTGCCTCAGCCTCCTGAGTAGCTGGGACTACAGGCATGCACCACCACACTTGGCTAAGTTTTTAATTTTTGGAAGAGAGGAGGTCTCGCTATGGTACCCAGGCCGATTTTGAACTCCTTGGCTCAGTGGTCTTTCAGCCTCCGCCTCCCAAAGTGCTAAGATTACAGGTGTGAGCCACCATGCCCAGCCTTTCCTTACTCTTCAGCTTAGTACTCCACAGATAAGTGACTATTGTTGCTTTATTAATTTTTTTAATTGAGTCAGGGTGCAATCATGGCTCACAGCAGCCTTCACCTTCTGGGCTCAGGCGATCTTTCTGCCTCAGCCTCCTAAGTAACTGTGACTACTCAGGCACACACTCCCACTCCTGGCTATTTTTTTGATTTTTTGTAGAGACAGCTCCTTGTTATGTTGCCTAAGCTGGTCTGAAACTCCTGAGACCAAGCAGTCATCTGACCTCAGCCTCCCAAACGACTGAGATTCCAGGCATGAGCCACCACGCCTGGTGTGTTGCTGCTTTGTGAACTAATGCAATGTAACATTATCCTAATATTAGTTTGAAATATGAAATTATGTCATCATCCACTCAACAAAATACTTATTAAGCACTTTATGTGCCAATCCTTATTCTAGGTGATAAAGATACAACTAATAAAACAAAGGCACTGCCTTTCTGGAGCCTGCATTCTAGTGGGGAGATGTGAACAAGCGCTGCATGAAAAAATGAATATGCCAGGTAGTTATTAATATTAATGCTATGAGGATAAAGCAGGCAAGGCAGGGCCTAGAGAATGACAATAGGGTGCATATAGAATCAGGACAGCATCTCCGATGAGGTTAGATCTCAGCCGAGACCTGAGGACACAAGTCGTGAATAATATACGGGGGATATAAGATGAATCTGCACCGTGTGAACAGCAAGTACGGAGTCTCAAGGGAAATCATGTGTTTGAGGAACAACAAGAAGATCAGTGTAGATACAGTGGAGTGACAGAGCGAGAACGTAGCTCGAAAATGAGGTCAGAAATGGCGTCTGGAGTAAGATCATCTAGGGCCTTGGGGACCACAGTGAGGACTTGGATTTTATGCCAAGCGGAAGAGTTGAATGGTTTTGAGAAGTGATGTGATAGAATTCGCATTTTTTAAAATTAATTTTTATTATAGAGATGGGGGGTGCACTTCGGGGTTAGGTATGCAAACATTGATCACGCCGGTGCCCTTGTTGATGAGGTATGTCCCTCCCTCCCTTAGCAGTTTCCCTCAACTGCTAATCCCACCCTCCCTCTGACAGTTTTCCACTACTGCCAATCCCTTTCTTATAGTATTATAATAATTGTTCAAGATCCGTTTATGAGTGAGAACATATGGAACTCTGTTCTTTGTTTCTGTGGTAAATCACTGAGTATGATCTACTCCAAATCCATCCAGGTTGGTGCAAAGTCCATATGTTTGTCCTTCTTTATGGCTGCATAATATTCATTGTATACATGTGCCACACTTTTTTTTTATCCAGTCCAGCTTCGATGGGCAACACGGTTGGTTCCATGTTTTTGCTATCATGAATAGAGCTGCAACAAACATACGTGTGCAGGTATCTTCTTGGTAGAATAATTTGAGTTCCTCCGGGTATATTCCCAATAGGAGAATTGCTGGGTCATATGGAAGGTCAATTTCTAATTCTTTCAGAAATCGCCACACTGTTTTCCAGAGAGGTTGTACCAGTTTGCATTCCCACCAGCAGTGTCGAAGCGTTCCTTTTGCTCCACATCCTCGCCAGCCTCTGTTGTTTGTTTTATTAATGATGGCCATTCTTACAGGGGTTAATAATTTGCATTTTTAAAGATGATCCTGATCAGATAATTACAAGCATGAGTATTCCCGACAGGAATATCTAGCAGGGATGCTCAGAAGGTTTCCAGGATGCCGAACATCCCTTACTTACTGGGCATGACTAGTTCATGTGCATCTTGCAGTGCCAGCATGGCCCTGACTCACTGGGACAAATAAGAGTGTTTGCCAACTCCAAATTCTCCAAATGCCCTAGAGCGAGGCAGAGAGTCTCATGTCAAATACTTGCATGACTCGATGGAAGGGTCTGGTGCCTGAGCCCTGAGGTTTTATACTGGAGATAGAGAAGTCAGCCAGAGATAGGTCAAGAAGGCCAAGATGAGAAAGTCTGTGAAGGAGGGAGTTGACATCAGGGTACAGGGCTGCTGCTTGACCATGTTACAGACAGAGTGTTGACCAACTGTACATCTGTGCTGCTAAACCTATTTTACTTTACGGGCTAGACTTTCCCTTTCGGTCTTGATGCTGTATTATGCCCATTGTTGGGCTTCAGTTATCGATTGGTAAGTGGAGTTTGCATTGTCAATCTGGTAGTTTCACATGAAGCAATAGCAGCCATGGCTTTTCAAACCGTCTGAATGGGAGGATTCTTTTAGTGTAGTTTGCTCCCACTTCCATTATTATTTTTTTTAAACCCAAACACTTCCAAAATTGGAAAATCCCAGTTTTGTGTATGTCCTTCCTTGTGTACTCGGTCACTTTTTAATTTTGGAAGAAAACAACTTGTGTGCAATAAGCACAATACTGGACGTACTGATTTAGTTAATAGTAAGAGCTTATTTGCATTATTGATTCCATATGCTTACTTTTATTTTATTTTATTTTATTTGTTTGAGTTGGAGTCTCACTCTGTCGTCCAGACTGGAGTGCAGTGGCCGCTCCCGGCCACCGCAGCCTCGACCTGCTGGGCTCCGGCGATCCTTCCGCCTCAGCCTTCCGAGTAGCCGAAACTACAGGCACGTGCTCCACGCCCGGCTAATTTTTTGATTTATTGTAGAAATGCGGTCTCGCCAAGTTGCCCAGGTGGACCTCGAACCCATGGGCTCAGGCAATCCACTCACCTCGGCCTCCCAAAGCGCTGGGATTACAGGCTGAACCATCGAGCCCGGCCCGTATGCTTTTTTAAACAGCAGCAAAATATGAACACTTAAAATTTTCCTAAGATAGAATGGCTCACTTTTGAAAACCATTAATTTTATAGCGTACTGGGATTGAAAGATATCTAATTGAATGTTTAAATTTAACAGAATTATATTGATTTCTTTCCTTTTCTTCTTTTTTTTTTTTTTTTTTTTTTTGAGTCAGAGTCTTACTCTGTTGCCCAGGCTGGAGTGCAGTGACACAGTCACAGGTACTGGAGCCCCAGCTTGCTAGGCTCAGGTGATCCTTCTGCTTCAACTTTCCAAGTATCTGGAACTACAGGCGCGGGCCAACACACCTGGCTAATATTTTTTTAAGTTTATTGTAAAGATGAGGTCTTGCTAAGTTGCCCAGGCTGCTCTTCAACCCCTGGGCTCAGGAAATCTTGCCTACACCTCCCAAAGTGCTGAGATTACAGGCATGAGCCATCATGCGTAGCAGAATTATAGTGATTAACTTTAAAATATGCTGTGCCTTTAATTTGTGATCAAGCACTATCACCTTAAACATATTTTTTGTGTGTGTGTCAGAGTCTCACTCTGTCACCCAGGCTGGAGTGCAGTGACACGATCATGGCCACCGCAGTCTCGACTGGGCTCAGGCAGTCTTCCTGCCTCAAACTTCCAAGTAGCTGAAACTCAGTCACCATATGCGAGTCACCATAGCCAGCTAATTTTTTTGATTAATTATAGAGATGAAGTCTCTCCTAGTTGCCCAGGCTGGTCTTGAACTCTTGGACTCAGGCAGTCCTCTCGCTTGAGCCTCCCAAAGTGCTGGGATTACAGGCGTGAGCCACCGCGCCTGCCTTCAATACATTTGTATTACATTTATCATAATTTGACATTCCAAATGGGATGTAACAAATTAATAATTTATTAAAATGATTATTTTGGAAAAGAATTTATTGGAATAATAACAGAATTTTTCAATCTCAGCGTTTCAAATGACATATAGTAGTGCTAGGATGTTAATTTTTGTCTTTTTAATTGTAGGTGTCTGTGGAAGAATTAGAACATAGTATTAGTGTTAAAATAGCTAAAGAAGCTGTGATGAATATAAATAAACCTGGAAGCCTTTTTAAGCCTACAAATGGATTTCTGGAAACCAAAGTATACTTTGCAGGACTCCCTCGGATCATGGAAAATGCCCTCATTAAACCGGTAATGACCCAAGCTTCTGTCATCCGTCATGGATGAATTTATCTCTCCATGATGAATAGAGGTAGAGTAGGTTTGAAGATGCTTTTTTCTAAGAGTCAACAGAAGTTATTTTGTTAAACATACTGAGTGTGACAACTTGAAATGAACATGGAAAAATAACATCAGTGCCCTTGAAATTATATGAGAGAAATAAGAAAACGAACGTAGTGGTTTTGTGTTCACTTAAATCCCCTGCATTACTCATAGAGAAGTAGATCTCTGAATTCTCAAGTGTCAGCTCAGCGTTAATGTCATAATAGTCTATAACCAACCATTAACCTAAGTGTCTATATTTGAGTACAATGCTATATAATTGCATGATTTTGTCGAAGTCAGTCAAAGGATCTTCTCAGGTCCAGTTTTAGGACTTAAATTTGAGAACGTAAAGATAGCACATACTGTGGAATTTGTTATTTTAAAAAACATTTACTGGGGGTATGACTATTGCCCATCATAAATTGGAATGAGATATAATAGATGATTTTCTGAATGTGATGTTTGTTTAATAACTGTGAAATAGGTTTTATAAAAGAGACTAGGTACTGTCCTCAAAGAGTTTTAAAATTTTCATTTGAAATCGTGAGCCTGCCAGATACACATGCTGATTTAATTTAAATATTAACTGTTTTATGTTCATCTTTCATTCATGGTAGTTCATAGTTATTCTAACTTTTTTTTTTTTTTTTGAGTAGGAGTCTTACTCTGTCACCCTGGCTAGAGTACAGTGGCACCCTCATGGCCACTGCAGCCTCAACCTGCTGGGTTCAGGTGATCCTTCCACCTCAGCCTTCTAAGTAGCTGGAACTACAGGCATGCACCACCATGGCTGGCTAATTTTTTTATTTATTGTAGAGATGACATCTTGCCATGTTGCCCACGTTGCTCTTGAACCCCTGGGCTCAGGCAATCCTCTCACCTCCGCCTCCGATTACAGGCGTGAACCACTGTGCCTGGCTTATTCTAACTTTTAAAATACCTCTGTGATATGTGATATGAAACTGAAGTAGTTAACTATGTCAGAATGAATTTACCTGTTCTTTGAAAGAGATAAATCAAGATACTTAAAAAGTTAAATAAATTAATCAAAGAGAATCAGCCATTTATGAAATGACTACTACATAGTTGAACCTGTCTAGATGCTTTGGTGGAGATTAAAGAATGAAAGCACTTCTTTTTTTGAGTTGGTCTCACTGTGATGCCCAGGCTGGAGTGCAGTGGCACACTCATGGCTACCCCAGTGTCAATCTGCTGGGCTCCGGCATTCCTTCCGCCTCAGCCTTCCAAGTAGCTGGAACTACAGGCACACTACCACATCCAGCTAATTTTTTTTTTTTAACTGTAGAGACAAGGTCTTGCCAAGTTGCTGGGGCTGGTCTCAAACCCACGGGCTCAGGAAATCCACTCACCTAGGCCTCCCAAAGTGCTGGGATTACAGGCTAAGCCTCCAAGCCCTGCCCGAGAATGAAAACACTTTTCTTCCTGAAGGGGCTTCGAGTCTGATCGGCAAGGCGAACCTATATTGCAAATGCAATTCAGGAAGAACAGAAAGCAGTTTAGAGCCCAGGACCGCAGCTAGAATAAATATAAAACTCAAGAGCAGAAAAGTTACCACTGGATGATATAGGAAGGGCAGGTGGGGCTGCAGGTGTTAAAATCATTAAGATCCCATGGAGGGTGTGGGATGATGTAATCTCATTTTTACTGAAAAAGACTGTCCTTCTGAAGAATACTTGAAAAAGAAAAATTTAGATACAATTCAAAATATATAAAAATATCATCAAGAATTTTCCCTCTAGATGGAAACCTACACCCATTATAGATTAATCCACTTCTTTAAGTTTAAAATGCACTTCTTGACCTGTGTTTTAATTTGTTAGATTAACTCTCGTCTAGACGGATGTATGCGAGGTTGGAATTTGATGAATCAAGGAGCTTCAGGAGTAAAGGAAATTATTCAAGAGAAACAAAATAAGCATTGCCTCATTACTGTGGAGAAGGGCTCCTACTATCCTGGTGCTGGAGTTGCTCAATTTAGCATAGATTACAGTACGTAATTTCTCATCTTATTTCTCTTTTCTCATTAATGAATAAATGTATTTTTGAAAAACAGCAATTATTTCTTCAATAAACATTATTGAGTATCTACTATGTGACCACCATAGTCTTTAGCTTATTCATGCTGTAATATACTTTTTACAAAATGTTTTCAGTATATTGGAAAACATATAAAGGCAATTAAATTTACTTATGTTAATATTTAAAGCTTACTGATACCCAGTCTGATTCATTTAGGGTGAATTCAGATGACTTACTTTAAAGTTTACTGACTTATCAGTCGTATGGAGTCTACCAATTCATGCTTTAAAAGGATTTGTCTTTGTTTCTAGAATTTCTATTTGATCTTTTCTTAAAAATTTCTCTCTGTAGAAATTCCCCATCTGTTCATACATGTTGTCTAGCTTATCCACCCAAACCTTCAACATACTCATTATATAATTTTTAATTCCCCATCTAATAGTTTCAACTGTGTCATATCTGAGTCTGGTCATGTTGATTGCTTTGTCTCTTGACTGAGTGCTGTTTTTTGTTTTTTTTTTCCTTGCCTCTTTGTGTTAGACAATTTTTTTTTTTTTTTTTTTTTGAGTTGGAGTCTCACTCTGTCACCCAGACTGGAGTGCAGTGGCTGCTCCTGGCCACCGCAGCCTCGCCTGCTGGGCTCCGGCGATCCTTCTGCCTCAGCCTTCCAAGTAGCCAGAATCACAGGCATGCGCTGTATTTTTTTATTTATTGTAGAGATGAGGTCTCGCTGCCCAGGAGGGTCTTGAACCCACGGGCTCAGGCAATCCACTCACCTCAGCCTCCCAAAGGCGCGGGATTACAGGCTGAGCCACTGAGCCCGGCATGTTAGACAATTTTTGTGTAGAGGTGGACATCTTATGTAGAACAGTAAAGGCTAAGATAAATAATATTTATGTCTGGAAATGAGTACCTCTCTTCTTTTGCTAAGCCTTTCATGAGGGAGATTGAACAATCTAGTAGAGTCGAGCTGCTTGAGTTATTGTCAGAATTACCCTTAGTGCATGACAGATTTCAAATTCCTCTATTATTACTTTCTGCTTAGGGTAAGGGAGTGATTTGCTAGAGAGTTTCTCTTAATAGCTGATGAGCTACTAAATTTTTCTTAATAGAAGCTCATTTTTAGGTATTTCCTTTATGCTATGCCTTAGAAAAGTGTCTCTTCCACTTATGTCTCCTAAGTGTTCTGCCCACTCCCAACAGAGTTCCCTTGTTTGCTACTTGACATTTGCTTATGTGGTAAAGAAGACCTAGAGGTAAGGGTGATGTCAGGGTACATGGGGTGCAGTTGTTTTGTGAGTTCTTGATTTCACCATGAGAAAGAATTTAAGAGAAAGTCACAGAATCCAAGTATAATTTATTATAGAGCAGAAAACACTTTTAAGGGAGAACGCTGGGTGTCTTAGAAAGACACACGCTTGCCTTTAACAAGAAACTTTATATAAGTCCACAACAGTGATTAAGCAAACAATTTCATAAGCTAAGAGTAGAGGGCTGCAGGTATTGGATCACAAGTTTTGATTACTCTCTCTCAACCTTTTAAGTTTACAGTGTCACCAGGACCCTCTAAATAATAGAAAGTTACTATGTAACTAGATCTGGGCTTTTCTTAGAACACCATTACTCTGAGTTTTGGGCAGTTCCTCATTGTTTCTGTGATTTACTCCACTGGCAGCTCCACATTCCAACCTGCAAGGTGGTCAGGTCTGATATGCCTGTTCAGTCAGGTGTTGATCAAGAAAGTTGCATACCAATAATCTCAATTTGACCTAAGAAAACTTGTCTAGCTACATCTAAGCCATTTGCTATGCTATGGCTTAGTGGCATATACCCAGTAGTGGCATTATGGGAACATTCTCTGACTAGTTCATGTACAGATTCAGTCTTAGGCAGGTGTTATATCCCTGGATCTCAGGAGTGTGTACTTTTTATTATTCCTCTTCCCCACCCTCACCCGTAGAGGAGATGTCTAATGATCAGGACACAGATGTTTTTCTGCTCCTCCTCTGTGGTAGGTAGTTTTTTTTGTAGTTTTTCTTGTTTCTATTCCCTAATCTATAGGTGCAGTGGGTCATCCTATGTGTCCTAAAGACAAGAGTTGCTGCCCTTCTCACAATGCTTTCAGGATTTTGCTGAATAGAGTAGATAAAGATGGATCTGGTTGGTGCTTTGTGACTTTCTTGCAGCTGTGCTCTCTCAGGACTGCGCTAGAAGGGGGCTTTTTCTGATTTCTTTCCCTGCCCCCAGTTTTTCTCTCGCACACACAGTAAGGTCTGTGGAGAAAAGCCTGTGAGTGAGCATGAATTTCTCTGTGCTTGTGGTTTCTAGGATTTCTAAATGCTCACACAGACTGAATCTGTACATGAGCGAGTCAGAGAATGTTCCCCCTAATGCCAGCAGTTAGCATAGCAAATGGCTTAGATGTAGCTAGACAAGTTTTCTTAGGTCAAATGGCTTAGATGTAGCTAGACAAGTTTTTTTAGGCAGGTCAAATTAAGATCATTGAAGAACAGGGTGGTTAAGCATTCAGGCACCTGTCTTATTGGTACACAACTATCTTGATGGGCTTAGCAATTTATTTAAGGTTTTACCTACATTATTTTTATCAAATTATATGGCATCTGGCGTCTGCCCTGGGTAAGAATGTGTTCTCATGCTGGCTCTCCCTGGAAGCACCGTCTTGCTTTAAGTTTCTGGTTAGCTCCTTGCTGTGCAACCTCAGCTCGCTGATAGTTCAAGAGAGGTTGTGATTATGTAAGTAGTTTGGCTTTTGTTCTTGTTGTTGTAAGGGTAGGAGTAGCATTCCTTCCAGTTTTTATAGCCTAAGGTGAGAAGGAAGTCTTGCCAGATTCCCAGGTTTTTATCTTTACAAATAATCTGTGGACATGTAAAAAAATACATCCCTGTTCCCTTATGTGATCAATTCCATAGAAGAAAACTTTAGAATTAGGTTATTTCCATCCAAGGTTATGTAAATATATACTTACTACAGGTTAAATTGCATTTAAAAAAAAATTCTTATATTAACACTACTACCAACAGAACGAGAGAGTTTATGCTTGACATTTGTTTCCAATTTGATAGTTCAAAATTTAAATTTTTGTTGTTTTAAATATTATCATCCTAATTTTTACTGAACTTGAATATCTCCCCATAGTTTATTAGCTATTTGTGTATTTTAATTATTTTATTGAATTCTTTGTCTTTTTCTGTTTTAGGAGTTTATTATTTGAGCTACTCACACTTTGCATTGTAAATTAAGTTAGTGTTAATATAATAGTTCTGCTTTAAGAAAAATGTGTCTTTGAATGTGTTTATTTGTAACCTAAAAAAAATTTATTGCATTTTTAAGGAAGACTCTTACCAGTGATTTCTGTTTTTCTGACATAAATGAGTACAATGCCTTTAACTTTTGCTCTGTTCTGCATATGAAGAATGATTAAGAAAATATTATAAAATGGATGATTATTAAATATAAAGATAAAACTAAGCCCATACTTATTTGTTCAGAGAAAAATAATTCCTGAAAAGGTAATGAAAAGAAAAGTATTGTGCCTGAAAAAAAAAATCACTTTCTTTTTTTTTGAAGTCGGAGTCTCACTCTGTCACCCAGGCTGGAGTGCTGTGGCAAGTTCACGTCCACTGCAGCCTCGACCTGCTGGGTTCAGGCGATCCTTCCGCTTCAGCCTTCCAAGTAACTGGAACTACAGGCATGCACCACCATGCCTGGCTAATTTTTATTTATTTATTGTAGAGATGAGGTCTCATCATGTTGCCCAAGCTGGTCTTGCACCTGTGGGCTCAGGCAATCTTCCCGCCTCTGCCTCCCAATAAACTGAGATGATAGGCGTGAGCCACCACACCCAGTGTAAAAAATCACTTTCTTAAGTAATTTTATTGCATGAATTGCATGAAAGTGACCTACTGTAGAGTTATTGGGTTGATGCATAAGCTTGTAGCGTTTTTCACTTGCCCATAGAATACAAATGTCACACGATGGTTGGCTGGTCACAGTTAGTCACATTTGCCATTCTTGGGTTAAATGATGAGGATCATCGTTGATTAAAGGGTTCAAATGGGCCAGGCTCGATGGCTCAACCTGTAATCCCAGTGCTTTGGGAGGCCAAGGTGAGTGGATTGCCTGAGCCTGCGGGTTCGAGACCCGTCCGGCCAACTTGGCGAGACCACATCTCTACAATAAATCAAAAATTAGCCGGGCATGGTAGCGCGCGCCTGTAGTTCCACCTACTTGGAAGCTGAAGCGGAAGGATTGCTGGAGCCCTGCAGGTCGAGGCTGTGGTGGCTGGGAGCGGCCGCTGCACTCCAGTCTGGGTGACAGAGTGAGACTCCAACTCAAAAAAATGTAAAAATAAATAAATAAATAAAAAACAAAGGGTTCAAATGGTCTTCATCAAAGCCCGATAACCTTCCTGGATGTGGAGAAGTCCTCAGGTCAGAGTGGTCCTCTTTGAAAAGAAAAAAACATTTTCTTGCATGTTTTCCCTATGGCATTCTCCCTGTACATGGCACAAATGTTTTGAGCCTTCTCCATTGCCTTTACTCCTCTGTTAAGCTCAAACAGAAGAATATGTTGGAAGTGTTTGTTTTTTCCACTTCACACTCCATCTTCTTTAGTCCACAAATAGCTCTAACTTTCTTCAAATCTGCAAAATGCAAGGTGTATTCACAACACAACATTGTCACTCCAAATGACAAACGATAAACTCCCCACAGTACAGTGTTTCCATGTCAAAAGTAAACACTGCAAACTTTTGCATCAACCTACTAATATTAGTATAATTAATATTAAATTATAACTCCTATACATTTGCATGTTCATTTGCATTTGTTCATATCCTGTGTTAAATTTATTTATTTCAAAATAAATGTTTGAGGTGATGGATATCCCTGATTTGGATATTACCCTGATTTGATCAGTGCAAATACATGTATCAAAAAACACCTTGTACCCTTCAGATATGTACAACTATAATAGAGCAATTTAAAAATTCTCGTTTCACAATGATTATATATATTTTCTTCTGGATGGGGTTTATAGAATTATAATGATGAAAAATGTGGTGACATTTTATGCGGCTAAATGGAAGAATATCTTGTCAAAGGAAAATTATGTTTTCCGTTCACATTCACCCTTTCTTTTTTTTTTTTTTTTTTTTTTGAGTTGGAGTCTCACTCTGTCACCCAGACTAAAGTGCAGTGGCCGCTCCTGGCCACTGCAGCCTCGACCTGCTAGGCTCCAGTGATCCTTCTGCTTCCGCCTCAGCCTTCCGAGTAGCCAGAATTATAGGCACGCACTACCATGCCTGGCTGATTTTTTGATTTATTGTAAAGATGAGGTCTTGCCAAGTTGCCCAGGTGGGTCTCGAACCCGCAGGCTCAGGCAATCCACTCACCTTGGCCTCCCAAAGGCACGGGATTACAGGCTGAGTCACTGAGCCCGGCTTCACATTCACCCTTTCAAAGGCTGCACATGGTATCTGGTCTTTGTTATATGTTGCATCATATTAAATGAGGAAGATTTGATTCCAATCATGAGCTAATATTTTTAGGAAACCAACTACTTTGTAAACATACTAATTCAACAAGTGTTTACTGAATGATTACTGTAGAATACAAAGTGATGACAGAGACATACAGGTCTCCTAGAATTTGCACTATATTGGGACAGACAATTGACTAGTAATCAGGAAAAGAATGCTAAGTATTATGACAAGAGAATAACAAGAGTTTTATTCTAATATCAAAACTAAGTGCTGACATCTGAGTATTTCTCTACTATCAAACCATCCAACGTCCCTATGTATATAAATCATATTTCTCCTTCTCGCTGCTCTAAAATGAGGAGTTGGGGGGTAATGATGACAGCCATACCTCAATTTTCCCTTTTATTTGTTTTGTTTTTTGAGTTGGAGTCTCACTCTGTAGCCCGGGCTGGAGTGCAGTGGCATGCTCATGGCCACGGCAGCCTTGACCTGCTGGCCTCAGGCGTTCCTTCCGCCACAGCTTTCCCCAAGTAGCTGGAACTGCAGGCATGCGCCATCATGCCTGGCTAATTTTTGATTCATTGTAGAGATGAGATCTCATCAAGTTGCCCAAGCTGGTCTTGAATCTGTGGGCTCAGGCAATCCTCTTACCTCGGCCTCTCAAAATGCTGAGATTATAGGCGTGAGCCACCATGGCTGGCCTCAATTTTCCCTTTTAAATACTAGGATAAATTTGTTGAACTTTCCTCTAGATTTGTACTGTAAAATATGACCACTCTGAGATTTGAGCATTGATGAATGTGCAAGGAAGAAAGAATGTGCAAGAAGAATGAGAAAACAGTGAACATTCATAATACTCCTTTACACAACAAGTCCAGAATTCTCTTCTAGGAAGAATGCTCTATCTGCATGTTTCTTGCCTGCATTTAAAAATAGCCTAGGTCGTATAGATCGTATACGTTGAGAAAGAGAATCTTTAGTATTACACAAAGATGGCTTTGAGTATTAATCAGATTGCTAGAATTCCTTCTGGTACACTTTCAGAGTACATTGATCCTGCCTCTATTTCATTGTTTTAAACAGATAACGTATCCAGTGCTGAGGGTTGGCAAATCAACGTGACCTTGAATATTCGCCCAACCATGGGCACTGGTGTTATGCTCGCCTTGGTTTCTGGTAACACAGTGCCCTTTGCCTTGTCCTTGGTGGACTCCACCTCTGAAAATTTGCAGGTAACGTTAAACATTCGTTTTTATTTTCATTTAAAAAAAAAAGACATAATAGCGGTATTTGTCTCAAAGGGACATCACTTATGTGAAGCATTTCACACAATCTTCAGTCTATTCCTAAGGACTCAAAAAGTGTCCAATATTGTTACTTTTTTTTTTTGCTGACTTATTTCCAAGGTCTGAACCAAGAAGTAAGAGGAGGGAGATTGAAAACTCTACTGCCTCTATTACCAAGATTAGGCAGACTGGCACACAGGCTGCTTGGAGCCATCACAGAGTACTTACAGATTCTCTCTCACTCAGAATCCTTGAAGCATCCTGGGAATTAGTCTGTAGTAACAATCCACTCCCAGCTACTCAGTGCTTAATGATTAATACAATGTTCTGTGTGCTCTCTTGTACTCTGAATCTTTTCTTGTGTGAGTGAATTAGGAAAGAAGAGAAAAATAAAACTGGTCCTCTTGGCTTCTTACTGGCAACTCTTATTTGGAATTAGGAGGAAGAATGGAAAATGTCTTGCATAAAAGAAAACAGGAGCGTTACCAGAATATCTGTATTATTCAGGCTTCTATCAGAGGATGATAGTTCTGTCCATGTGTCATTGACAGTGGACTCCAACAAGTTATCTCAAGAAGCTTATGTTTATATGAGGCTTGACTTGAATGGTCTCAGTAACTTTTGGAAAGAGACATATCATTAAATAATTCCTACAATAATTTTTTAAAAGAGTGCTGCTTGTAACTTAGAGACAGAAGAGGGGTAGTTTCTGGTGGTTAACCTTAAGTAACCTAAAAAGATCCCACTGAGTGTTTTCTATCTCTCATCTGGAAGAGCTTTCTACATTTGGATTTCAGTATTTTTCTCTGCTTGTTTGTTTTTAAGCAAAATGGAGTTCCTGTGTTCAGCACTACATTTACACGGTGGAAGAGGTTAATACCCGCCACATCTTTGATATTTATTTTATCCTTTCTGTGTTTGTCTCCATGGCTCTTTTTTCGCATGTCAGATTCTCTTCTTAAGATCTCTGTAAAGTATTTTATAACATTATTCTGCATACCACTGATCATTCTGGAACATTTTCTCAATTGACTCTCTCTTTTAATGAGTTTAAAGATATGATTAGCCGGGCATGGTGGTGCATGTCTGTAGTTCCAGCTACTTGGACGGCTGAGGTGGAAGGATCGCCTGAACCCAGCAGGTCGAGGCTGCAGTGGCTGGGAGCATGCCACTGCCCTCCAGCTTGGGTGACAGAGTGAGATTCAAACTCCAAAATAATAATAATAATAATAATAATAATAATAAAGATATGGGCGTGTACGATACAATAGCAGATTTCCTCCAATAGCCTACATTTGCAACTTACAGAGTTTTCACTTACTGTAGATATCTTGAATTCCTAATAAACACTTTGGACTATCTTTCTACCACCTGGGAACCATCGCAACACCGAGGTGTTGAGGATTGCCTGAAGCTAATGTATATTTAAAATTATGTTTCTACGGGTAATAATTTTTCATTTAAACTTGGAGATTCTGTCACACTTTTTTTTTCCTTATTGAGATTTAGATTTTGAATTTCAAAAACTCAAAAGTAGCTAGGTGTGATAAATCATGCCTATAATCTCAGCACTCTGGGAGGTTTAGGTGGGAGGATCTCTTGAGGCCAGGAGTTCAAGACCAGCCTGAGCATCATAACGAGACCTTGTTTCTACAAATATATACATATGTATAAAATTATCCGGGCATGGTGGTACATGCCTTTAGTCCCAGGTATTCGGGAGACTGAGGCAGAAGGACCACCTGAGCCCAAGAGGTAGAGGCTGCAGTAAGCTGTGTTTGTGCCACTGCACTGTAGCATGGGTGACAGGGTGAGATCTTGACTCAAAAATAAAAAACAAGAAAACTCAAAAAGTATCTCTTAAGTGGCATTTCTATTTGCGCTTTTTTATAGTAGGTCTTTGCTCTGTCTGTCAGGATATTCTGGTGTCTGTTAAAGAAACAGTAATATATCGAATAGAGGCCCTAAATCTGTGTTCTGACCAAAAACACCATCTGGAATTCAAAGTCAACAAAAACAGGCTGGAGATTTCGACTCCACTTAAAATGGAAACCATCTCTTCCGAAGACCTTCAAAGACAACTCGCCATCTTGGACAAAGCAATGACAGGGACAGTGGCCACTTACCTGGGTGGCCTTCCAGGTACTTGCTTACTTTTTCTTTAACCTTAAAGAGCATATTTTTAATCAAATTGATAATATTTTAAATATACAGTTTGAGTAAAAAGGCATCAGAAGACAAGACAACATTCCGGTATTTATTATTCTTTTGCTGGGAGCTGGTGCTGGCATATTTTTGTTTCATTTATTTTTTTAATGTTGAACTGAAACTGTCCAAGTTTTGCTGTATCGGACTATTCTAGCCAGAAAAGATATATTATTTTATTTCATCCTCAGAGTCATCTTGTAAGTTAATATTTATTCTTCAATTCATCCATCTTTTATGCAATATTTATTCATCTGTTATTCAGTTCATCTGTCATTTATTCAATTTTTATTAAGAACCTGCACCCCAAGAACTAGGGACTCAGTAATAAACAAATAGATATGATCCCTGAGGTTAAAGCTTTTACAGTCTAATGTCAGAGATAGACATTAGAGAACTTATTGGGAAAATATCAAAATAGTTAAAGTTGTGATCACTTTTATCAAGGAAAAGTATGGATTGCTTTTAGAGCCTGAAAAATGGAGGTGGCCGGGAACAACCGCTCTGAGTAAGAGACTAAAATATAAATCTGATATTTGAAGGAGGAAATGAATTTAACTGGGTGGTAAGAGTGGGAGTTGGTATTGGTGCGCATTTGAAAAGGCCCACGTGTGGGCAGAGTGGGGAGGCTATGACACGTGTGAGGAATCTTTAGATCGATATGGTTAATGCGTATTAAGCAAGGAAGGTGGCGGAGTGGGATGAGGCTGTGACCTGGGTGGGTGGTTGAGGGTCTGTAGACCTACTTCAGAGTCCCAAGTCTTATTACTAGAAACATGAGAATCAAGGCCGGGCATGGTGGCTCACGCCTATAATCCCAGCACTTTGGGAGGCCGAGGTGAGAGGATTGCCTGAGCCCACGGGTTCAAGACCAGCCAGGGCAACTTGGCGAGACCTCATCTCTACAATAAATCAAAAAATGAGCCGGGTGTAGTGACGCATGCCTGTAGTTCCAGCTACTTGGAAGGCTGAGGCAGAAGGATCACCTGAGCCCAGCAGGTTGTGGCTGCGGTGGCCGTAAGCGTGCCACTGCACTCCTGCCTGGGCGACAGAGTGAGACTCCGACTCAAAAAAAAAGAATCAAGAAAAAGTTTGAGACTCAGATGAAGAAGTAGTAATAGCCACAGTAATCAAACTCCCGACAATGGGTGCATAACAGTCTGGGCACTGCTGAGAGAGTGTCAACCCTATCAATGTGTCTAATTTTCAAAATAGTGCTGTGAGGTAAGTACTACCATTATCCCCATTTTACAGAGGAAGTTGAGGAAGCTGCTAGACTAGGGTGATGGCAGTGACTGGATTGAAGATATATGTGAGAAACCAAATTAGTAGAATTTTTTTTTTGAGTTGGAGTCTCATTCTGTCACCCAGGCTGGAGTGCAGTGGCATGCTCACAGCCACCACTGCCTCGACCTGCTGGGCTCTGGCGATCCTTCCACCTTGGCCTTCCAAGTAGCTGGAACTACAGGCCCATGCTACCATGCCTGGCTAATTTTTGACTTATTGTAGAGATGAGGTCCCGCCAAGTTGCCCAGGCTGGTCTTGAACCCATGGGCTCAAGCAGTCTACGCACCTCAGCCTCCCAAAGTGCTGGGATTACAGGCTGAGCCACTGAGCCTGGCCTGGTAGGATTTTTGATGGGAAGATAGGTATCAGGGAGACTCTTAGGTCTCCGGCATGAACAGTTGCATGGATGGTGAAGACATTGACCAAGTGGGGAAAACAGGAAAAAGCAGATTCATCTTAACCTTAACATTGGAGAGTATGAAATTGGGCACCAATATTTTACTTTTAGTGACCAAAAAATGAGGCAGAAAGTTCTTTTTTTTTGGAGTCAGACTCTCACTCTGTTGCCCAGGCTGGAGTGCAGTGACATGATCTCAGCTACCTCAGCCTCGACCTACTGGGCTCAGGCGATCCTTCCACCTCAGCCTCCCAAGTAGCTGGAACTACAGGCACGCACCACTATGCCCAGATAATTGTCTGATTTATTGTAGAGTCAAGGTCTCACCATGTTGTCTAAGCTGATCTTGAGCCCATGGGCTTAGGCAGTCCTCTTGCTTCTGCCTCCCAAAATGCCGGGATTACAGGTATGAGCCACCACACCTGGCCAGAAAGTTTTTTAGAAGTATTTCAGGTACCATTTGCAGATTATTCTCATGAAGTGAATTCTGAGTTTGGTATCTGAACTTCTAGTAACCTTTATTATATGACTTTAACTGCTCAGGATCCTGATTTCCCATTATGAAAATTGTATCTGGGCTTCTGGGAAATAGAAGTAAACAGGTTTTAAAAGTTGGAGAGAGAGAGGTACACAGATACATAGATGATAGATTTTGTTAGTTAAGTAGTTAGTTGGCATGGTTAATTATTAGGGAGTATAATTAGAGTTCAAATGATTTAATCCTATATTAAAATCCACCTACTACTTTCTTCACAAGTTAGTTGAATGCAATTTTAGAAAATCAAATAATCAATAAAAGAGTTTAAAAGAAGTAAAAATATCCAAATGTCAGCGGTCCTAGGACTTTGGCAATAGCACTAAGGACTGAGTTCAGGCAAGATGTGTTGAGATAAAGAGGGAGGGAAATTTGAGAGAACCTAAAGTTGAGATATTAAGAGAATAAATTATGAATTGCATGCAAAGTAGGTATGTTAGATTGCATGTTAAAAATTAAAACTCAGGGGAAATGGATGATTCTGAGGAATTTTTTAAAAATCATGGCATCATCTGTGATGTTCAGCCAGACTTGAAAGGGAGTCTTAACAAATTCTCTGAGCTCATAGAACAGTCTGAACTTTCTGCACTGTGTTGGCCTGTTAGAAGTGGAAAATTTGAAGTTTTTAATTTTTTGCATAAGGTACTAAGGAAGAAAGATTGGGCTAAAGAATACCCATTGTGAATTAAAATATATGGAGAGGAGATGCCGAACAAGAGGAGGCAAGTAGAGAGACGGATGGTTTTATTTTTTAATTTTTTAATTATTTTTTATTTTTGAGTTGGAGTCTCACTGTGTCACCCAGAGAGGAGTGCAGTGGCCGCTCCGGCCACCGCAGCCTCGACCCGCTGGGCTCCGGCGATCCTTCCGCCTCAGCCTTCCAAGGAGCTAGAACTACAGTTGTGCGCTACCACGCCCGGCTAATTTGATTTATTGTAGAGATGAGGTCTCGCTGCCCAGGCGGGTCTCGAACCCGCGGGCTCGGGCAATCCACTCACCTCAGCCTCCAAAGGCGCGGGATTACAGGCTGAGCCACCGAGCCCAGCTTAAATGTGTTTTTTTAAATCTTAAGTTTTGATGGAAGTCATTCAGTGCCAAGCATGGTACCTTAGATATATAGGAGTCACTTAATATTTATTTATTTATTGAATAGAGTTATATTATTAACTTTTCCTTGGGCCTAAAACTGGTTGGCAATGGGAAGTCTGAGTGACTCCTTTAAGTGTAAACAAATAAGTTACGAAAAAAGTCTTGGAGTAAGAGTATACTATTCTGTTTTTACAGATGTTCCATTCAGTGCCACACCAGTGAACGCCTTTTATAGGGGCTGCATGGAAGTGAATATCAATGGTGTACAGTTGGACCTGGATGAAGCCGTTTCTAAATATAACGACATTAGAGCTCACTCCTGCCCATCCGTTCGGAAAAACACAGAGAGCTTTTAAGGCATCTTTTCTCTGCTGATAATATCTTTTTCTTGTGTGTAATTATACTTATGTTCCAACAGCAGCTGAAGGGTTTTATCTCTGAATGTGCAGTCAGTCTTGGGTTATTTTGTGATACTTTCCTGGAATTTTGAGGTCCTTTTTAAGAAACAAAATTTGTTGTGAAATAAGTCACATGAAGTGATAAAAACGCATTACTTCTGTCGCTATCTAGAAATTAAATAGTGAAACACATACAAATTTTAAACTTGAATTTTTTTGCTACAAATGACATTGCTTCAATTTCTGTTTGTGACTCTAAATTTCAATTTTGTCATACTGAACTAGTGTATAAATACCTATTTTTCTCAGAGGCAAAGAAGGAAACCCAAACAAAAGTGATGCAATTAAATGCTATTGAGCACAGCCAGGTACTACTTTTTTTTTCTGATGGAGACAAAAGAGATGGTGGCCTATTACATATGAATTAAATGGAAGGCCTTAAAGCTTTATTTCAAAGCAGTTGCTCGGGATCAGCCTTGGCTTTATCTTTCTCCTATGTGGCTTCACACTTGAACCAGTGGCTTTACTGAATTAGAAAATGCGTGTGGCAAATTTTCATGAGAGTAGTGTGTGAATCTTACATCTTGGGAACTTCCGTCTAACAGGATGAGACATTGAATTATTCAGGAAGGGGAGTGGAAATCTGAAATGGATACATTCCTTAAATTTGACTGTGTGGGTCATATAAACTCTGCATTAGAAAAGGCAGATTTTAGTGGTGGAAAGGAGGGTGAACAAAAGTAGACATTCTTAGTTTTTCTTCAATCCAACTTGTAGTTACCAGAGTAAGTTGTCAGAATGTGTCTGTTGAAGGACAAAAGAAACTATGGAAATTAGAACCGATTTTTAAAAGGGATAACCACGGATGGATATAGCAATTTTTTTTTAAGTCAGGGTCTTAACTCTGTCACCCAGGCTGCTTGAGTGCAGTGGCATGATCATGGGTCACTGCAGCCTCAACCTCCTGGGCTCAGGTGATCCTCCTGCCTCAGCCTCCTGAGTCACTGAAACTACAGGAGTGTGTTACCACGCCTGGCTAATTTTTTGATCTTTTTGTAGAGATGAGGTCTTGCTATGTTGCCTAAGCTGGTCTCAGACTCCTGGGCGCAAGCTTTCCTCCCGCTTCAGCCTCCCAATGTGCTGGGATTATAGGCGTGAGCCACCACCGTTGGCTGTGAATACTATGTCATTTTACTCAAAGAAGTAAGAAGGTAAGATTGCTACTTACTTGCACATACTGCAGCGCATTTCAAGGGGCAGTTTTATCATTGGAATCTACCCTTTATATCAGGTGTGTATCAATGTTTCATTGGCAGTTTTAGAAAATAAACTTTTTTTCACTATAGATATTTTATATCTCATAAAACACAATAAATCAGTGTATCATTTAAAAATGTATATGAATGGTATCTTTATTCTGTCAACTCTTTGAACAGAACTTTACATAGTGGACATTTCACTCTTCATGCAGTACTGTAGTTCCTGGGTTGAAAGGAAGATAATGCCCAAATATTTGATGAATAGTTATGGTTGGGTTAGAGACCGGAATTCAGAAAGTGGAAGAAAAGCAGAAGCACCATGTATCGCGTGTGACACATGCCAGAAATTATACTAGATCATCTCACTGGATGTCATTTTTCTCCTACTCGTCACCAACTGCTACTGTGTACTGTGAGTGTTGAGTATCAACAAGTGACTGTTGATAGTTATGTTGGTGTAAAAAAGCAAGAAAAAAAAACCAAGAGAAAATATGAGAAAAGAAAAAAGAGCAGAACAAAGCGAAAAAATGTATTTCTTCTGGGGGAGGTGTTCTCTGTTTGTCATTTAATTATGCCACCATAAAAGGACAGCTGTAGGGATCCAGTCCACATTTCACATCACAGCAGAAAGCTTCCTATGTGCAGTGATGTCTGTAGAGGCTTCAGAGACGCATTTATAAGTTTCATCTATCTCTGAGACACATTCACATATGGTGAGAGAGGGAAAGGCTAGGCCCGTGGCTACGAATCTTTGATCTTTGCCAAGAAATACAGATCCTTACTTTTAAAGAGTTAGTAGAGAAGAGTGGTTTCATAAAGGTAAAGTGAGTATCTGATGCTATTTCAGCTTTGTATAGGAAAAAAATCTAAACAGGACCATTACACAGTCCCTGAAAACCTATCTTTTTCAGCCAGGTGCAGTGGCTCGCGCCTGTAACCCCAGCACTTTTGGAGGCAGAGGTGAGCGGATTGCCTGAGTCAGGGGTTCAAGATCAGCCTGGGCAACTTGGTGACAATTCGTCTCTACCATAAATAAAAAAAAATTAGCCATGGTGGCACATACCTCCGCTTCCAGCTTCTTGGAAGGCTGAAGCGGAAGGGTCGCCTGAGCCCAGCAGGTCAAGGCTGCGGTGGCCATGAGCATGCCACTGCACTCCAGCCTGGATGACGGAGTGAGACTCCAGCTCAAAAAACAAAAACAGCTGCCTTTTCATTTTATTTCACTTCTTAGTTTTTGAACATGTTATGTGACATGGCAATAGAACTAACTTACCCTTTGCAGCAATAGGTGACAGATCAGTAGGAGCAATGGTTGATCTGTGAGACCAGGCCACTAACCTCATTTCTCTTGCCTGAAAGTGTAATTCTAGCCTCAGTCCCCATATGTGAGTATAAGAATGTATTTCTAATTTTAGTTACATTCTGGAATTAAGAATCTGGTGTGACTACTAAAAAGAGGACTTTTGTGGGGGAGGGTTTCACAAAATGATTGCTTTATTTCTTTTAATATGGTTAATGGGAACTGAACTAATATAGAAGATTGGAATATTTGAAATAATTTCATTTCAGATTTCTTCATATTACTTTTTTTTTTTTTTTTTTTTGAGTTGGAGTCTCACTCTGTCACCCAAGCCGAAGTGCAGTGGTATGCTCACAGCCACCACAGCCTCGACCTGTTGGGCTCAGGCAATCCTTCCGCCTCAGCCTCCCAAAGTGCTGGGATTATAGGGGTGAGCCACCATGCCTGGCCAACAAGGTTGCTTTGTTGGTGATCCTTCACATGGATTTCTTGCTATAGCAAGCTTCAAGAACTTATATTTGAAAACTAGATCTTCTCCTAAAGAAGAGATATTGGTTCAGCTAGTGCTGTAGTGGGGTCTAGTCCCAGCCTCTGGCTGTCTCGTATTTGTGTTTTCAGGAGGTGAAAGTGAACAGAAATGACCTAGGCCAGCATCCTATGAATTGTTTTGTGCTGTTTGAGTCAGAATCTGGCTTTCACCCAGGCTGGAGTGTGGTGGCACGATCATGGCTCACTGCAGCTTCCACCTCTTCAGACGGTCTTCCTTCCTCAGCCTCCTGAGTAGCTGGGACTATAGGTGCCTAGCTAATTTTTTGGTCTCAACGAGGTCTTGCTATGTTGCCTAGGCTGGTCTTGAATTCCTGGTCCCAAGCAATCCTCTTACTTCGGCCTCCCAAAGTGGTAGGATTATAGGCATGAGCCACCACGCTCAGCCCTATGAGGTTTTTTGATACATAGTAATATAAACAGTGCTAGGCCAAATTACCATGGAAAACTGACAATGGGAAAAGATTGAATCAAGATGTGAAGCTAAGAGGCTCAGAGCCAGAGAGGAGCTCAGTCTGGGAAGGTCGGGAAGAGGTGGCAGACCAGCAGGCTGTGAGGCATTTCCTGAACCACAGTTCACTACTCTGAAGTGCTCTGATCGATCGGCCGAAGGGTATCAGCTGACTTTCCTTGTGGATAAGAATAGCATCCAGCGAGTTTACAGACTCAGCTTCAGTGAGTCTACTGGTCACAACACGCCCTCCCCAAAGATAACCCTACCTTCACGGGTGAGAAGCAGCACTATAAAATCTGCAATTTATTAGTGGCTAATTCTCTCTCCTACTGAAATTTTAAACTGTGGCACCTAAAATCTTACTCTGGGCTGGGCTCGGTGGCTCAACCTGTAACCTCAGCACTTTGGGAGGCAGAGGTGAGTGGATTGCCTGAGCCCGCGGGTTCGAGACCCACCCGGACAACTTGGCGAGACCTCGTCTCTACAATAAATCAAAAAAAATTAGCTGGGCATGGTAGCGTGCACCTGTGGTTCTGGCTCCTTGGAAGGCTGAGGCAGAAGGATCGCTGGAGCCCAGCAAGTGGAGGCTGGGGTGGCTGGGAGTGTACCACTGCATTCCAGTCTGGGCGACAGAGTGAGCTTCCAACTCAAAAAAATAATAAAATAAAATAAAATAAAACCTTACTCCGTGACTGGGATGTCCTTGATCTCCAGGTGGGAGAACCACTCAGTACATCGAATCTTTCCTCAAGTCCATTTGAAGAGAAAAGAGAGTGGGTGAATCCTTAGCTAACACAGGAAGAATCCAGCAGCATTATCCAGGGGTCCCAAATAGCACATATAAAAAATTCAATAATGCCAGATCGAGCACGAGCTGAGCTTCAAAGGGTAGAATTTGAGCTTCGAAGGATAGTATCTTTCTGAGCCAACTTGGCACGTACAGAGCCACCACAGTCAACAGCAACTTAGCCTGCATTATATATGTCACTAGCAAGTTGCAAAGCTAGGGTTCAAAGCCAGAATGTCTGGCTCAAGAGTCCATGCCCAAAGTGAAAACTTGACACTGTTCCTATATTCTTACCAGTTATCCCAGCCCTTAGTAAAGGGTATATTGCTGACGTGAACAATTCCAACAAATCTATTGATTTCTGGATAGGACTAATTCTATCTCCAGCTGTATATATAACTGACTGTCATTAAGTCTTAGTTGATAATATTATTTAATGGTTTTAAAGATAAATGTGATATTATTTGATTGAATGAAGCAAATGCTGACACTGACTCTGAACACCTATATAGTTAGAACTCTGGGTTAGAAATTAGCCCAGAAAAACAATGGAGCAACTGTCCTACTCTAGGGGACCACAGACACATGGGCTAGCAATTCAAATATGAGCCTGGGTCTGGTAATGGCTGCAACAGAGAAAAATCTGTGGAGGGTTCTGGGAAAGGAGAGAT